TATTATAAAAATGACTGGAACAACGGTTTAAAGTGTAACGAACCATATCAAGAGAAAAAAGCTGTTGCATTCATGTGAAAGAATTATTTATCTATTCTTCGCCGCCATCATAAACAAAACAAATGAATAAAATTGATACCTGCTCAGCGAACCGCTAATCAATTATGACTAATGGCCCTTTTGAATTGTAATTGTAAATTTGGTAACACTCCAGTGGGGCGTAAAATTATGCATTAGTTCGCAATACGAAAAGGAATTAACAATAAATCTTCCTCACTCTGCATATTACGTAAAACAATTGCTCCATGAAGCCTTATAAGTGGTTTTATTATGTACTTGAAATCGAACTTGATTATAAAGAATGGAAGTAACGTAATCTTTGACGGGTTCGTTCGGTAGCAATGTATGGCTCATAAACAACGTGTCGTAGGCTTTAACATGTTTCTAATAAATAAGAATTATTATGAAACATGTTGGACTTTGTTTGGAAATCTGGATATTAAATGGATGGTAGAAATATCTATATATACATATAGTAGATATATCCTTCCAGGTCACGAACCACCGTCCACAGATGTAAAAGACCTGAAGTTTAATCGCGGTTCGGTTTCAGTCTGCGGATTTCCGGAATATCCAAAGCGTAAATAGGTCGATAGCACATCTTGTTCAGATGTTATATAGCTGAGGTATTTCACCTTACATAAACTGAATCTCATACTTGTCTGTCCTCCTCTATCATAAAAAAACTTAATAGCACAATATTGCCAGAAGCTTTACGTCTTATACGGAAGGATAAGGCAGCTAAAATTGTATCGTCTTCTCAATAAACTTGCTTTCAGGAACAGTTGGTTGTAAAAAGAAAATATATACTTATATTACTACTATATATTATTACTATATACTTAGATAAAAATATTTTTGTCAGTAACGCTAGTATCGTTCTTATATATTAGCCGTAAGTTGAAAATCTCTTAAAATGTCCTGGTTTATTCTAAACCATTGATTTTAAAGAGCCTGCATTTAGAAGCCTTCAAAGTGTATCTATACTAATCTATAGAGCTGAAGAATTTGTTTGTTTGTTTAAACGCGCTCAGTAACTACGTGTTCGAATTGAAAATGTTTTATTGTGTTCTTTTCGTTTTGTTGTTGGAGCATTTATCGAGGAAAGCTATATAAGCTATAAAATATCGCCCTGTGACTAATACAAGCAAAAATCATATGGGTCATCATTATGGGTTTCCGAGGCGTACGCTGCAAAAACGGTTCAAGATAGAATGTGTCTTTTTGATGATTTAAAAAAACAAACTCTGCGATGCTAATTGTCTTTAAAGGTTAATTTAAAAGAAAGACGGGAAGGGACGCAACCGACGTCGTGGGTAAAAATGAATTTGGGCGCCCAAAATAACTATTCTACGCGAACGAAGTCGCTGACACAGCTAGTGAGTAATAAATTTCAAGAAATGCAATATAAAAATCATTTCGCCAATGTAGATTGAGTTCTCATGATTAATGTGTTTGATTTATTTTAAAAGGAATGTCACAATAGATAACCATAATACTTGCCTTATATGGCACTCCTGAATCAGCTCCTTAGTTTAATGAGCAATTGTTTTTTTTACAACTGTGTCAAACTTAGTCATCATTTTCGTACCTATGTAGGGAACAGATTATTTTTTTTTACCCTATGTTTTATATTATAGCTATATATGTATATCTGTATCTATACTAATATATATACATATATATAGCTGAAGAGTTTGTTTGAACGCGTTAATCTCAAGAACTACTGCGTTGATTAGAGCATTTATCGCGGCAGGCTTTAAGCGTAGAAACAGTTGATAATTTGAAAACCACGGGAAAAGTGATTAATCTTTGAGCTTCCGTCGCGTGCGCAGCGAAAACGGTTCAGAATATCGAAAAATATGTATGAAAGAATGATTTCTCTTTAAATCATTTCCGCGACAGTATAGGTCTATATGTTAAGATTAACAAGAACGACGCACGACATCGTGGGTAAACACTATAATTTATACAGATGAGGAGGAGGTTTGCAGAAACAAATTTTGACGCCCAATATACGTTAGAATATATTCTGCGTAGACGAAGTCGCTGGCATAGTTAAAGGTAATTCAATCATAAGTATAGAAATGCTTACGTCCTAGAGCAGAAATAATACATGCCATGTAGCACCATACATTCAATCGCATAGATACTTAAAGGTCTCCACGCGGTCATAAAGATTGGTTCAGAGATGAGAAAATAATCAAATCAATTTTTTAAATGCAATCTGCATTATTCATATTATGAGCCATCTCTTTATAGTCACAGTAGAGAAGAGAAAGAAAAAACGGACATTAAAATCTATAGTTTTTAATAAGTCAATCAGTAAGTTTTTTGTTAGTTAGAGCAATTATCGAGGAAGGCTATAGGCTATAAGACATTGTACTATGACTAATATCTCTTATGATGAACTCGCAAGAACGACGGTTCGCGATTGATGGGATATGTCCAATGACGTAGGTAACTTTGTAGACTTTGCAAAAACAATTTTGGATGCCCAAAATAACTATTCTACGCGGACGAAGTCACTAAGTCAGCTAGTATTTTTCAAATATTCTTGGCTTCATTACTTGGCTTTTTATAACGGCGAGACTCTAACTCACTGCTGACCACCATATCTTCGTTAGTCATTAATGATTAATTAAATCACGATCAATACGTGTTAAAAGACACATCAATCCAATCGCCGTTTGAATGAACACAGGAAACATGAACGAGTGAAATTATTATTGATTTCGCGTGTGTGTGCACATTTAGCGATCTAGAAAATTTACATTGTTCAATGTTTCTCTTCCTGCCTCATAATTTCTATGAATTTAAATAATTGCTTAATTTCTCTCCGTTTACTTATTATTTTAAGGAAACGATCGACCCATTGGTCTGTGAACGTGCGATTTATTTCACCTAGTTACGTAGTTTTTACCTAAAAAGCAAAATCAACACTTCGTAACTTTACAAATACGTAGAAATTTCTAGAACTATTCTTAAATTTAAAATTTACACTTACAAAGAACTATTTCTGTTTGATAAATGAATCGGACACAACTGGATTTTTCGTATAGGTCTAAGTAAATTTTTACGTAAGGATTTAAAAACAAAAAAATTAGGTATCCTCTTTCCCATCAGCTAACATTTTTATAATATTCACGAAGACATTTTAAATCAATAAATCCATCCTATCCTATAATCCTGTACTTTTGGTTGGAACTACATCAGGTCAAACTATTATAATACGTTTGCAGGTCTGGTAGCAATAAATTTCAGAACCATCCCTGCAGCTGACAGGGGTAACTGCATAAGGGTAGAGTTAGGGGGACAAACCTTCTCGTTAATTTAAGTTACATAATCTTTGGCAAATATTATGCAGTAATAAATGCACACTACACTAATCACAATAGAATTATAACAATAATGTTTCACATACCTTACAAAAACAAACGGCGCGAAGACGCCGGTATTCCAAATATTAAACACAATGTAATCACAGCACAAACAGATGCAGCACACGCATAATTATTGCATTTATAAACGCGGAGGTACAGCTGTTATTTTTTATGGAACGTCAAAAAATGTCCTTGAGGGACGCGGTGCGCCATGTCGTTTTAGGGACGGGCGCGTGGCGACTGCGCTTAGCCGCCCCTTGTGTGGCGCATGCGCGGTGCGTCACCCCTGTCTCGGTTCGCCCGCGCTCCTTCGCTTCCTTATTCCATATAGACACTGCATGCACAGATTTTTTTCACAGGGGTTACGTGTTACTCGCTTGGTTATTAGTTTTAACTGTATTAGCAAAATTAATTTTATGATCTGTTTGAATTACTATATTGAAAATATATTGGTTAAGTTCCTTTCCTGACCACGGCTCCTCAAAATACGAACCATAGTTTAAAAAAAAAATTGCGAATATGTTCCGCGTATTTAACCGTTAATAGTGTTTATTGAAATGTGCACTACTCACGGAAATTAGGAAATAATACTTTTAAAATCTGTTTACCCAGATTATGTGTTAAAATGTTACAATTCTCTTAATACATTTTTTTGTTTTCTAATATTCAAATTAGTTAAAATCTTTTTTGTTTAATGTGACCGCATAAAACAAAACCCAATATTCGTAAAGTGTCATTGTTTGGCTGCCGAAATAATAATTATCGAGAACAATAGACAAACGAGACAATCTGTTTTGTTTTTGATCAACTTACAAAGAGGGCCTGTCCCTCTCATTTAACCTTAACAAAGCAAACTTAGCTCAATATTTAAAGTTTATGTTCCCCTTTATTTATGTAGATGGAAGTTTTACAGGCCTTTAAACATATTTTCTTTTAGTGCTTTTTTTTAACAAACATTATATCATATACTCGTAATTTCGTAAATTCCTTTTATTTATATTGTGTGAGAGCATATTACATTTACTATTATTTTATCCATAGCAAATATTGTTTGAATAAATAAAGTTATAATTTTATCAGGCGTTAGTTTTCATAAAAACAGATACTGGCAGCAGAAATAAAAATTAAGTATTATTGTATAAAGTAATGTCTAGTGCTAAAACAATAAGCGCTGACTACCTTCGATGCCTATTGTAACTCTATTTCTTTAACTCAAATATTAGGGTTCTACATATCTTTGTTTTAAAATTATCCTCTCATAGAAATGTTAATGTAAAATTCACTAGACTTTCTCATTTCATCTAGTTAAAAAAAAATTGCTAAACATATTAAGCTTAATAAATAATTCTTTATTCGCCACCCACATGTACAATCGTTTTAACAATAAAAGTTTTTTATTATGTTCTATCTTTGTTTTTAAGTAAAGATAATTAATAATTCATTTGAAATATGACATTACCATTGAAACGGCAAAAACTTACTTTCAAATGTCAAATTTGAAAATGACACAAACCGCAAACAGCTGGCTTTAAAAATTTATATGAGAATTTTTAAAACATGCACGAGGAATCCAAAAAACAGTGCGTATTGTTTTGTAACCCAACTGAATATCCTTGCTGAAGTATTTAGATTAATTGAAAATCTATTAGTATCAACTAGTTTATTGATATAAATATTATAATTTTCCAGTAGCAAGGGTGCCAATAATCCGAAAGAGCAGCGAAAACGGCGTAGTAGACAAGAAAACAAACCGGAGAAAAACCTGAAACATGACAAAGATACTAAAGCTGATATTAAAGGTATTTATGTGGTAACTAAGCTGTTGCTCTTATTGGCTTGCAATCATCCTAATCAACTGCAGTGGGATCTACTAATTTGTTGAAAACAAAACACATCTTTGTCAAACTCATTTAATATCAAACTATTAATTAATCTTTATCCAGCTGTTATTACAAATTACCATTAGAAACCATTAAAAAAGCAATGGTACATCTTAAATTTTTATTTAAAACTATTATTATTAATACAACACTCAAAAATATTGACAACAAATTTAGACTTAACCATATATCACCATCCACTATACTTTATGACTAAACATCTTACAGCTGAGAAACCTGAAAGAGTGCCATATGAACCACCACCAGAATTTTACAAAAATCTCAAAAAGGAAACTGATGAAATTCTCAAGATAACAGAGGAGGCCAATGCGAAGTATAAAAAGAAAGAAATACTCAGTAACTGGGCTAAGTATGAGATGCCTATTGAAACTTATGAGGACATAGATGACCAAGAAAATTTGGGAGCTGATTATGAGGTAAACAACATTTATAAGTTTTTCTTTATTTTGGCTAAAAACCTTCCTGCAATCAACTACCTAACTTATAACATGTTTTATGTGACCAACAAAAGATAACTATAAAATTATTATTATTTTTAATTCCAGACGTTAGCTAATATACCACTCTCAATAGGGGGGCATTTTCAATTTAAACATGAAAAATCTTGGGATACAAGTTCTGGCCCAAACCCATATGACAAATATTTTGAAATAAATATGGAAATGCTTAACATAGCTATCTCTACTATTCCATTTAATGAACGAAATGGTATAGATTTAGAAATATTTATTGAAGCAGACATCAAAAATATGAATCATCGTGCAACAAAATTCAAGCAAAAGTTCTTTAATGACAAAAAGTTTATGACCCCAGAAATGGAGGCTCAAGAAAAAATATTAAGAAATTTAGCTCAACCAAATCAAAGTAAAGAGGAGGATAACTTAACTAAGGATGTTAAAGACATTGATTTGAGTAATGTATCTAATGTAGAAGAAAAAACAGAAGATCTTAGTAATAAGAGCAGTAATGAAAATATAGATATACTATGTAATAAAAGGCATACAGAAAAACCTATGGAGGACAAAAATAAAAAAATAAATGTTCACGAGGTTTTATATGAAATAAAAAAAGACACATTGCCAAGCAAGAGCAATAAAGAAATTTGTTTAGAAAGAATTGAAGCCCCTAGTCCTAAAGATAACAGCAAAATTAGAGAGGGTAAGACTTTTCCTTACTTTGATTTTTTATGGTTAAATTTTACATACTTTTAAAAGATATGGACATAACCCAAGAGAGAAATGTATATATTTTTTTAATGTATAACATTTTTTTATTGTATGTTATTTCAGTACCCAGTACAGAACCAGTTAAAAATCCAGTAATTGAATCTCCTGAAGACCTAGAGAAATGGCTGGATGATTTTTTGGATGAGTAACCTATATAATTTGGTTTTACATTCATTATTGATGTGAAATGAATTATGAATAACTGCATATGAAATATTTATGTAAATTAAAAATATTGCACAATTATGATTTTTTTCAAGTTCCTGAAAGGACAGACGGATTCATTAAAAAGTCTGCAGTAAAAGTTTAATTAAAATTTTTATTTCAGATTTCTTTAGGCATCAAGAAGTAAAATTCTAAATTAAATCGCATTCCACTGATTTTTTCGTCTTCTTGATCCTATATTCGCCGTCATGCTTGTTGCAGATCTTGAAATACCATTCCTGAGTCCAGGTTTCCTAAAGGCTTGGTGAACTTTGATAATGCAATCTTCTTGAACACCTAAACTGGTGTTAACTGCATACTGGGCGGTAGAAATGAACAGTTTTGCACTGTAGGATATTATTTACTTCACTGCAAACACTTTTCTGTTTATTCAACTAAGAAGGCGGGAAAAGAAAGCTATAAGAATAAAACAGAAGATTCAAATACTTTCTATAATTCCGTAATTTAAGCTACAAATTATTCCGTAACAATTATCTTTCAAACTGAAGTAAAATTGTTGACAAGACATTTAAGCCACACTAGCTAAGTACAGCTTCTGCAAGTTGCTGCTGGTAGTAATCAATATTAGATCATCATACAAATTATAGAAATTAAAATATTCACGTCCGATTTAAAATCTATAGGCAATTCAGACCATGCTTTACAAAAATATTTACTAAACAATTATTTGAATGCAAGAGCTTGGTCAAGATGCCTTCAATAGATTGATACTGTCACATGTATACCAAGGGTAGGTTTACCAATTCAACTGTTATGTGGATAACCAACATTAATTTGTACTGTTAATCAGCACTAGTAAAATTAATCCTTATACCATTTCTCTAAAACAAGGCTTATTTCGTCTACAGTAAATGACTTCATTTTTTAATGCATGTGTCGGTTCAGTGTCGTTAGCAGCGACCCACCCTTAATGTATGTGACAACGTCATTTATTGGTATCGATAATCGTAGTTAGAATTATGATATTGATTACCACGTCGATAATCATACTCGTAATTGGATCGGTTAGTTCCTGGCCCGCTATGACTTGAATGGTCTGTTTGCTTCAAGGTCTTCGCCCGCGCTGCCAACTGCGATACAAGTTGCGCCGGAGTGAGATGTGCTATTGACATAGGAGCGCCGCTACTGCTGCTGCCGCTGGGATTAAACATGGACTTAGAACTGTATAGGTCCTCTTCGATCACCTGCGTGTGCACCGACATGGAGAAATGATCAGGGTCCACCGATGTACTTGCGTCTTGAAGTTTTGTCGAATCACGAATATCACACACTTCACATATTGGTGTCATCGTTTGCACTGAGGCATCTTTCATGTTCTTCTGCACTTTCTTCATTGTCCTGGACACTATTTTATCCAATGATAGTGCTGAAATAATGCTTTTAATGATTTGCTTGTTCCTCTGCTCAACCTTTGGTAAGCTGTTTTTTGAGAAGTGGAATTCCACAGCTGTTTGCCTTTTTAACGGAGAGCAAAACTTGGGTGCGATGGCTTTTGGTTCTTGTCCCTTATAATTGTTTGAGATGAGTAAACGATTTGGTAATTCCAGCTTGGAGAGATGATCCATAGCTATTCTACACCGACTCAACACTGGAAGGACAATTTAAGAAATCCTTTAGACCACATTAATATTTTCAATTATTGATAATGAAAAATGATTTTAAAACTATAAATAGTTTCAGTTGATTACTGACACCACAATTGATTTTTAATATTAAAATGAACCCACCGGCAACCCTCTCCTTAGGATCCACATTAGGAGTAGAACCTGTAATATCAAGATAGTATTAACCCACCAAACTGAAAAGACGATTCACACTTAACGCGCAAAGTTGTTTAAAAAATATCAGTTCATTATTATTTTATGTCAATACAAATATTAGTCATAAATCATATTTCTTGATTGTAAATTTTTAAGTAGTAGTAGTGAAAGCAGTTTTTTTACACTATTATGTTACCTTTATTAGGTGCAAGTTTTAAATAATCTTCATGAGAAAGTTTTCCATCAGCAACTAACTGAAAATGTACAATGTTTAAACAAATACAGTTTGTTAAAAACAAGTAAAAATATAATGAAATAAACAATTATATTTACTTTAGCCAATGCATCGTATGGTGTAGCCAATGCTGAGTCCATACTTTGTGAAGCAGGCATGGCAGAATCAGCTGGGGACACTTGGGAAGGTGCAGGCACCATACTTGGAGCAGGTACTGGCTGTGGTAGTTGTGACATAGGAGTGGACGGTGGGTAGTAAGCCGCAGTATAGCCAGGGTAACTAGGAGCCTGAGGATATGAGTATGGATGTACATACTCATTATTTACAGGAGGTAAAAATTTCTTTTCTTCGGAGTATACATCAGCAGTGCGCGAAACATAGGTTTTATCGGAGGAATGTCCTTTTTTTCTATCAAGAGACCGCGATCTTGACCTGAAGCGTTTGTAGGGCGACCTGGAACGACTTTCCCGTCTTCTGTCTGGACTAATACGATGCCTTCTAGGACTGCGTTTTGGGCTCCAATGCGAATAGTTAGGGCGACGATGGCGCGAAACGTAGTTGTCAGGGCTACCTCGTAAAAATCCACGACGTTTTTGCGGCGAGTATCGTCGTGGTGAGCCGCGATGATACCTTGGTGGGGAATCCCTTCGATGTCGAAAAGGAGATTCTCTGCGCCTCTTTAAAGGTGAGAAACGACGATATTTTGGTGAATCCCTTCGTCTTCTTTGAGTTTCTTCAGTGTGCCTCAGAGGTGATGATTCCATGTCCTTTTCTATCATATTTTTTCTAGCTACTTCCTCTGCCAATTTCTTTTTGACTCTATGTCTGCTGTCATCATAATAGTCATCCAATTCAGTGCCAGGTGGTCTAATATCATCTGTGGCATCGAGTTGTTTAGCAAGCAGCTCCTTCACCTTTACTTCCTTATCCTTCTTAATAGCTGAAAGTGTTTTGCTAGGGTCTCGACGACTCCCAGGGCGTATGTAGTCATCTAGAGATTTTTCCTCACCTTCGTTGTGCCTGGATCTATCTCGTCGGCGCCTTTCCTGGCTTTCTTCTTTAACGATAAGTTCGCGTAGATCGTTGACGCTATTGACTGCATCTTTGTTAATCCTTCCTCTTTCGCGGGTATCATTTGTGTCCTCTGTATTCCAACTGTCGATAACTTGCATAAAGTCATCCTTACAAAAATCATCGAAAAAGTCACTAGGAATATCTTCGCCATCCGAAGAATCCTTTTTACCTTCCTCTTTAGGCATTTTAACAGAAAACTTGATTAAAATTTAATAATAATATATAATGCACCAACGAAAACAAGAATAACAAAAAATATACACAAAATGTTATTTCCAACGTTAGGTTATAAATTAAAGGAGAAGATAAAACTTTACCGACATCCGATTGTTATATTGAATTGTATGTTGTTAGATTTGCTTAATAAATAAACGACCAAAAATACTGCTTTGATTAAATAACCACATCCTTAATCCTATTTATTTCTAAGTTTACATTACTTTACATGAAGCACTTCAGTCCTAAAAATAACAGTACTAGTTTATAATCTGTATTCTGTGATAATTTTTACAAAATTATTGATTTGAGGTTTCGTTTTTTATTATTATCTCTGAGTGGGTGACCACAGATAAATATTAAATTATGTAGAAAATATTTATTAAGATATTTTTCTTAATTTTACGTACCTACGTGTTTTGTGAAAAATAGCAAAAACTCTTTGCACTATATTAAACCGTAGACAAATGATTTTTATCTAATCTATGGTTATCAAACATTTTCTCTCATCTATGACTGTTTGTTGTTTAAACTTTTGTACGTTTCGTGGTATAGTATGTAATTTTATAATAAATGTTTGGTTATTTTAAATGAACCATATAGCGGCAAATAATATTACTTGACGTAACATTTTGTAGATGAAAATATTATAATAGGCAATAGGGCATGGAACATCAGTTTTGTAGAAAATCCCTTTAACCGCATTATGGAACTTACCCAGAGATTGGAATGTTCTCAAGTCCTTTTTAATAACCCAGAAAGACTATGTCCAGAACAGGTAATTAAAATTGTAATGAAATCAGATATTTGTAAAATTTTATAAATCAGATGCAACTTCTATATTTTGCTTTTCAGATTGGATTTCTTGGCATATGTGGCACCAAGTATCCGGTAAAAAGAGGCCCAAACAAAATAGGTAGAGACCCTCAAACATGTAATATTGTTTTAAATTTAAATGTAAGTATTAAATACTGTCTATAGTTTCCGCGAGTAGTACACATTTAAATAAAACACTAACTGTTTATAACGCGATATGTTAGTTAAACTAATTTGAAAATTATTTTTAACTTCGGCGCGACTTTTCGGATGCTTTGCAGCAGCCGTGGTCTCCCCGTTAAACCGTTAGTGTTTTATTTAAATGTAAGTATTGTTATTTTCCTTAAAACATATAAAAGGTTACATATAACTATATATGTTTGTTATAAACCAACAAATATTATCCCATCATCACCAAAATTCATGTTCTTATTTTCACAATGGACATCTTTTAGAAACTTCCCAATTGCTCTATGAGTTTTTGCCATCTAAAATGAACAGTGCCTTCAAATTACTACAACGTATTGTACGATGTCATGTATATTATTTTCAGTCAATATCCCGTCAACATGCTGTCATTAATGTACTAAACAAGAACAATTTTATGCTAATGGATTTAGATTCTGCAAACAAAACAAAATTGCAAAATGTAAGTGTAAAAACACACTGTTTTTTAGTGTATGCATATTTTACTACTGTCAATACTAAAACCTGTGTTTCACAATTGCGTCTTAAGATGGTGTTTAAGTTGTACAGTCTATTTTATAAACTACTTATCTCTTTTCTCCTTACACATAATCTTTATTTTAGAAATCATTAGATCCATATATACCACAACCATTAAGAAATGGGGACACTGTTCAGTTTGGCGAGGTTTTTGGTATATTCAGATTACTTGAAGAGGAAACTGATCTGCCTATGACACAAGCGTTAGATATTCCAGAAACTCCTATAGTCAAGAAACACATATCAAAAATAAATCGTACAGCAATGATACCTGAGTCTCCAGAAGTCAGCGACAGGGTAAGATGCAATGTTAGTACAAAAAATTGCTTTCCTGAGTATAATTCATTTACCTCAATATTGGTAAACTATTTTTTTACTTAGTTCCTCTTTGATTTTATTTATTAAGTTTTATGTTTTTATATAACATCTACATTATTTCAGGATGATTCCTTTATAGCACCATCTCAACCAAAAGAAGCATTTAAAAGTCCAAATAATAATTACGTCAAAGCATCGGGAAAATCTATTTCCATTCAGCCAATTGGTCAGACTAAGATAGACAATGTATATTGGAACTCATCAAAAAAGTCAGATTCATTTATACTTAATAATTCAGTTATATCTGTGAAGTCAAGTGATGTGAGTGGCTGTAATAATGTTCATGATCTAGAAACTCAGATTCCTAATCTAAATGATAATACTAGCATATACGAAGCAAAAACACAATTGCCCCAGGAAGAAAGAACAAATTCACCTGACTTTTATAATATGGAAACCCAAGTTCCAGTCTTGAACACTACACTTAGTAATAAAAAAGATGTAATAAAGGAAATACATGCTGACGAGGACAAAGAGAATAATATTAGTATATTTGAGGCTGAGACTCAAGAATATTTACATGATATAAAAGAACCTACCAATAAATTTGATGGTAGTGAAAGTGATATAACAAGTCATAAATCTAATGATATAATCCTTTTTAATGATATTGATAGTCAACCTTTGGACAATGATTTGGAATCACAAGTAATTTTGCCTTCCAGTCCATGTGGCTTATTACATCAAGTCAATATAACAAATACAATAAAGGTAAACTCAAATGACTGTCATGACTTTGATATTTTACCCACACAAGTCATTCCATCATTAGATTTAATAACTGAAGACAGTAATGATATAGATATGATACCATCTCAAACTATTTCTAAGATGGATATTGATAATGAAACTGATAGTGAAGATTGCAACCCAAATCAAAAGGCTGTTGATGAAGATGTGACTGATTGTGAAGAAGATCTGGACTTTGATAAGAATAATGTTGAATTGAAAGCTTCAATTCCAACTTGCAAAAGCAATCCAAATTTTGAAGAAGTGGAAACACAAATTATACCAGAAGTTAATCAAAATAACAAAGTAAAAACACAAGTTATATCAGAAAATGAAACAAACAATATACCAGAAGGATGCGATTTTGAAGATATGTTGACTCAAGTGATCCCAACAGTTGAGGATTCTGAGAAACCTCTTAATATTACAAAAAAAACACCACCGCAGTTGAAAAATAGAAAACCCGAAGAAGATGTGAAAAAGAAAGTGTTGAATAAAATTTCCACTCTCAACAATGTATTTAAGGTTCCTACTATCTCGCCTAGTAAGGTAAAACAGAAGGAATCCCCCAAATCCCAAATTAAAAAAACACCTACAGTTACTGATGATAATGACTCAAACTATTATTGTTTCACGCAAGACATTATAAACGACTTGTGCTCGCAAAAGACCGCAATCGCAAACGATGATTCATTAGAAACGGAAATAAAAATCAATGAAAGTGTCGCTATGTACTCTAGTCAGAAAATTAGAGATATTGTAGGTGCACAGAGTACACCAAACCAAAAACAATTTCCGAGCGATAGTCCAGACTGCGAAAGTGCTTCAGAAAATTTAAAGCCATTCATACTTGATTTACCCGACAGTCAAGAAATTAGTAGTAGTAGACAAAAAATTACACCAAAGCGTGACCAGCTATCGACCGAAAATTCTAGCGAATCGGAAACGGAAGCCGATTCTACACCTGGAACACCAATATTGTTCAAAAAGAAACTAAGAAAGTCAAATAACATTAGAGAAGACCTGTTGAAGAAGTTTGAATCACAGGGAGTACCAACTAGAATATCAACAAGAGTTAAAAAACCCACAGAGAAAGGAAATAATATGTCTATATTAAAATCAAGTTTAATAAATTCCGAAGAGGATAGCATTGACCCTGATATTATTGCGGAAAATATAATGCGCCTTAAAGAGGCTATTTCTAGAAAGTCTACTAAACGTGCTACAGCTAAGAAGGTGGACGATAAACATGATGTCAAGGTAGAGAAAGAACATACAGCGGATATAATAAAAGAAGAGAGAGGGTCTGTTAAGTCTAAAAAAAAGGACGACAAAAGCGAAACAAGTATAGTATCTGAAGAAAAACCTAGTACTTTGAAAGAAACATCAAAAACAAAAACAGGAAGAAAAGCTAAAGAGTCTAAAAGACAAGATAAAATTAAAACAGAACAGATAACAAAATCCACTAAAGAGTCAAAGAAACCGAAGATAAAAATAAGAATTTCCGATCCAAGACCAGACAATATATTAAAAAATGGCACAGTGCGCCAGACGCGCTGTCGTAGAAAGAAAGATGATAGCTTACAAGAAAATGACAGCAAAGAGGAAAATAAAAGAAAAGCCAACAGTAGAACATTAAAGCGTTCACTCTCCAATACAGATCTATCTAACATAAGTGAAAAACGTAAACGCACTAAGAGAACTGAAACGCGACAGTCGTCATCGGATAACGAAGAACAGCCCGAACCACGGCGTAGTAGAAGACAAAGGACAAAGAAAGAATTGATAGAGAAGTTAAAAGAAGAGAGCACTGTGTTTGAATCACCACAATGTGGGATAAAGAAACCAGTTGCTAATAAACAGTTGGCATATGAAGATAGACCTGCAACAGCACTAGGTCTGTTGACTAAGCCGAGAGCTATGCCAAGCAGGAGGCAGAAACCACACCGAGTTTTGTTCACTGCATACCCTTATGAAGATGACAAAGTTTTGGAAGCTTTAGGTGAGTTATTATCATACTAAATTTAAAATGTAGGTAAGACAATATGATTTTTAACTGTAATGATTTCTTAAGCTGCAAGGTAAAGAATATTAAACCTCAATACTTATGTGTTAAGGTTGAAATCACAATGCGCGTGAGACGACGTGTGAGACACGGTAGCTCAATTGGTTAGAACAGCACCGAACGCTCTAGATGCCGGTTCAAGCTCCGCCCGCGTCATCAAATCAATTCAATCCAAATGGATTTCCAATTTATATAATAAACTAACCAAAATATCTTTTCCAATTAGGTGCAGTAGTAACATCAGACGTTAAAGAGTGCACAGTCGTGCTGACGATGCAGATAAAGCGAACATTCAAGTTGTTATGTGCTGTGGGTTTGGGAAAGCCGATAGTTGGACGCCAGTGGGTTCAAGCATGCGTCGATAATAATGTCATTGTTGGTATGTAGTGTACTTTTTGTTATACTAGCTGTAACTTCAGTGTGGAGGCCCAGGTGTTTTTCCAGGTCGAGAACGCATGGTCTAGCAACAGACAGTGAGGCGAGTCAGCCCATAAATACGTTAATACGTTTACGTTTGTGCTTACTAATATTATAAATGCGAAAGTATGTCTGTCTGTCTGTCTGTTACTGTTTCACGCCAAAACTACTGAACGGATTTGAATAAAATTTGTAATACAGATGGTCTAGACCCTGAGAAAGGGCACAGGCTACTTGCTTGCTTTTATTGCGAAAAGGGGGTTGTAAGGGGAAGAAAGTTGGTATGGAAATTCGTGATTTTTGAAGCTAGAGCACAGAAACTTCTTTGGTTTTTTGGAAATAGGAGTGGGAGTAGGGGTGGGCGTGGGAATTAGAGTAGGAGTGATGTGAGATGAGAGTGTTGCGGCATAGAAGCAGCTTCACTAATTAAAAATTCTACCCCAATTCACTATTTCACGCGGACGAAGTCGCGGGCAGAGCTAGTATGACATAATACTAAAATATACAATATATGTCGATTATTTTAGTCACAATTAACAAATACATTAAATGAAAAACTTTTGCTATTTAAATAAAACATATATTTACACCATTAAAAGTTTTATTTTAGATATCAAAGTTTTTTATTTAATGTATTGTTTATTCTAATTATAATAATCAATGTTATATTGTGTATATTTTTTTTGTATATTGCCACTGTCTATTAGCTATAATAACGGGAATTTTACTACTAATGCTTTCACCATAGCAACACATGCCGGACTGTGACCATTTCCAAAATATACCTTTTATTCAACACTTTACAACAATGGAGTCTTTGTAGATCCGTGGCTCTACCTGATTCATGATGAGGCGACAGAAAAACGTTTCAATTTCAAGCTGCAACAATCGCTCACGGGCAAAAAGAAATTCCTCAAAGGCATTAACGTTAGTTCCACACTAAATGTCATGCCTCACCCAAAGGAAATGAAAAGTTAGTATTATTCTTCGTTTATATAGACTTCAAGTACTAAAGACATGTTGTAATAGTATATATATAATACAATCGAAGCTCACTGGACTATTGGAATGTTTGAAATCATAATAATTGTTGTATTTCAGGGTTAAAAGTTTTGAGATAAGTTCCCGAACAACTTAGACTGCCGTACAGAATTACTAAATATATCTATTGAATATCTAGATCTAGATGCGCTGTCGACTTATTTGGTTGTACACTTAATAATTTGAGGCCGCTAGAGACAGAGTAGCCTAACTGCAATTTTATGACTTGAGTTATTTATATATTCATAGTCTAAAAATGTTAATCTACAGGAGCATGGTGACGAAAAGTTGTTAATAATTCTTACACAAATAATAGTATTTTGTTTTCCTCCATATTAAAAATCATGCTTTTTTGTTATTAGGCCACTCCTCTGCCTCTAGCAGCCTCATATATGTATATAGAACCCCTAACATAACAGTGTATTTTTTTGTTCAGGGATAAACATACTCAAACATGTGCCTCCGTAGTCTTTCCAAAGAACATTATAAGAAATGTAAAATAAATATATATAGGTATTTTAATAGATAATTTTTCTTTCTAGTGATAGTGGAGTGTTCAGGTGCAACATGGAAGGAGCCAACTCTTGAACCGCCAAAATCAAACTGGGTCGTGGTGTCATCAGTAACAGACGAGGTGGTATGGCCCGCCCTAAAGAATAAGGGCGCTATCATTGTGTCCCCTGAGTTCGTGCTCGCCGGAGTCCTACGGCAGACTTTGGAAATTGAGAAGCACCGAATAGCTTGAAATCCAACTACGACGGATTACAACCGGAATATTCATCTATATAATGTACAACTTATGGCTTTAAAAGTTTGGAATAATCAACGGTTTATAAATGGCTGGCACTATTCCCAATATTAAACGGGTTTAATGTAAATATGTTTTGACTAAGTTACTTTAATTTTTAAAGGTTTTTGTTAATTGTCATGACAGGCTGGTAGGAATGTGTCTGTCAGGAATATGGCTATTATTAATTGTTCTATTTCACCTTCCATCAAGGGAACCCACATGCTTGTCTGCCTGTCCTGTCATAAATTAGAAGCGTTTACTAATGAAAAGGGTTCAGAATATTATTATTCACTAAAATCATTCAAATTCATCTATCTTCACAAGACACATACTTATTCTCATTAATTGTGATTTGTTATATAACAATTAGCTTTAGGAAACCATTTCAAACAAAATTTGTAAGTGTCTGAGCTGTCGTTAATTTCAAGAGCCCGGTTACCCTTGGTTGGATAGTCCGTACTTCACTTCTATCATTTATAATATTCCTTTATTTTAAGTAATTTTCTCTTAATAGTGTCCTGTTTATATAACTTTAATTTTGTATATAACGCCATCAACACTTATTTTACACTTTTACGTAACATTAGGCTTTTTACTAGCGAATAGGCCACAGGTCCTAGACGCAATGCATCAACCGGTCAGTGCAGGGAAAAAACGCGGTTTTGATCAGTCCGAAATTCGGTCATTATTAATTACACCAGTGTTATTTTAAACGACATCAACAATTTAAAACCCACCGGAATCGTTTTTATAAAACTGAAGCGTAGAAGTTCATAATTTATCTTTAAAAATTACAGTAGTTTACAACATAAATAATATTTTTATAAACGATTTTAATTATTGTTTTATTTGATGCTATATCCGTCAAAAATGTTTACTTATCTTTATGTAGATATATAGAATAAACGTTGAACTTAATAAAATAGTCGCAAGTTTTTGGGAACTAGAAAAAGGGTTAATGATTAAACAACATAATGCATTACATTTTTATTTACATAATATACTTCTAAATTGTAGAAGGCTTTGGCGGCCATTTTGCCAGGGCACTTGGGTTATCGAGTTGTCGTTATGAGAAATTGTTCAATAATTTCTCTATACACTTGCCCAAGCTTGTTACGACAGGTCGAAAACCCAAGTATCATTCTGAACATTACAGAATGACGCAAATATATTAAAAAAAACAACGAAGTGTCGCCATGTTCTTGATAAAAACAACAGTTACTGGAATGTTATACATGTGATATACTCGTCAATATAAAACAATTTAAATGTTGTATATTGTTTTAAACGCGAAATACATGAGGTTATTTTTACTACGACCCGTCTTAGCAACGACCATGGTCACAGGTCCCATATATTTCGCGTTTTAAACCGAACAACAATAATACTAAGTATCTTTGATAGTAAGTTTGCTGAGGATTAAATTACAAGATGTGCCAAGCAGCAACAATGGTGTTGAAATCATATTGTTGATTGTTATAAAAGTATAAATATATCGATATTATGTATTTGTGCATCCTTATACATCATAAATAATACACAAGCATTTATATGTAAAAATACACATATGTACAGTACAGTACAGAATACAGACAATTTTTAGAACAATTGGCTAATGTTAACTTAACTATAGACAATACACATATAGACTCACAGGTATTAAATCTTTTTATTCTTGAAACAGTTGTCAGCCTTATTTTAATGTTTAATAAATGTTAATATTATTTATTTAATTACGAATAATTAATGCCCTTTATGTATCATGAAATCATGACTTTGAATTAGATGGCACAGCAACTGCCACGCCATCTGTCGCCGGTTTAGGTCACTATTTGTTAATACTTTTTTCGATCATTTTTCTATTTCACGATGCGTGTTTTCGCTTAGCTAGTGCAAAGTTAGTATCATAAAGAACCCTGTATAACAGTTTATCGATAAAACTTATGCTTGTGGATTCTTCTTCATCAGCTCAAGGTCTGAATCCACCATGTCCACCACAAGTTGATCGAAAGTGATCTTCGGCGACCAGCCCAGCTTCTGTTGGGCTTTGCTCGCGTCACCCAGTAACAAGTCCTATAATGCAAAAATGGCCCGATGAAAATAGTAATTTAGATTGTTACAAATTTAAGTCTTGCATCTAATATGGGTCTTTACCATATACGAGAGTATGTCATCATTTGTTATTATGTCTACATCCCTCCACTGATCGATTTTATTTGCAAAGGATTATTTGGTCAGAATTAGACAACCTGACAGTTCACCATCTTCTGGTTTGGTTGGGCAAAGATGAATCATCACCATCACGAAGGATTACCACTGTATTAGTCTAAGCTTTATTAATAGACTATAGCAATATTTATATTTCAAACTTTGTCTACTATAAACACATCAAAAAGGTTTACAAATAACTTAAGAACTAGCGAACGAAAGGAACTCACTAAACAGCGATCTCTTCTAGGCAACCTGACGTAATGGGACAGTAAAAGAAAGGATATACCTAGGAGGTTCGTGCTAAAAGCACTGAAGAGATTGATTTTGTAAATACAGAGAGAGCTTCACAGAAGCTACAAATCGGTACAACTAGCAATAACTTACCACTTCAGTGGGTCTGAAGTACTTGGGGTTGACTCGCACCAGCAGCTGTCCCGTGCTGGCGTCGTGGCCCGTCTCGTCCACGCCACTCCCCCGCCACTCTATCCGCCTGCCCACGTGGCCGAAAGCCTTCTCCACGAACTCTCTCACGCTGTGGGCCTCGCCCATTGCCACCACAAAGTCCTCGGGTTCCTCTTGCTGGAGCATCAGCCACATCGCCTTAAAAATGGTGTATACATATAGCAATTTGTCGTTTATGATTTTGTATGTTATCCTATTTGTTATGCAATATTTATATTTAATACGTGTCTTTTTTATGAATAAAAAAATAGAATTCTCCTAAGTCTTCTCAGATCTATACGTACATATGAGCCTAGGCTAGAGGCAGAGGGGCTCATAACAAAAACATAATTTTCAATAAGGAGGATAATAAAATAGAATAAAATGAATATATGTATTATTTGTGTAAGAATTACGTTAACAATTGTTGGTGCCTCAGCTCTTGTATACATTTTTAAACTATGAAGAAATAAATAACTCAAATTATAAACTAATAAATTAGCAGCTAGGCTACACTTGCCTGTAGCGGCCTTATATATGATGTTATCCACTGTATATTAGTGCTAACGTCCGGATAGTATTCGAAGCTCTGGGCTCAATACATATTAATCATAATAAAAAAAAATGTATATTAGCTACTACGGATCGACAAATTTATGGAATATGGCACTTCGTCACTTTCGTTCACTTCGTCCCGTTTATACAAGTATCAATCTTAAATAGGTTTTAACGAGTTTCTTCGTATGGGAAAATCGTACCTCAACGTAATCCTTGGCGTGCCCCCAGTCCCTTTTGCTGTCCAGGTTCCCCAACTCAATACAGTCCAGCAAACCGAGCTGAATTTTAGCTACGCCCCTGGTGATCTTGCGGGTAACGAAGCTCTCCCCTCGCCTGGGGCTCTCATGGTTAAATAAGAGGCCGTTGCAAGCGAACATGCCGTAGGCCTCACGGTAGTTCACCACGATCCAAAACCCGTATAATTTAGCACAAGCTAAAAGAAGAAAAGTAGGAATTTTTAAAAACAACAATAAAATATTACACAAATCGAGTTAAGGGATATTTGTGTGGGATATGGGTCGAACACAATTCTGTGTCTTCGAGATTGAACAATTTTTTAACCATTTAGCGGCTCTAGCGGTCAAAAATACAATACACTGGTGATGTTTTATCTAATACATTATTTATGGAGAGAGTATTCATAAGTAATTTTAGTAAATAATAAAAAATATGAAATCATGTTTAAAAGAAAGCTTTGTATAATTAAGTATACCTCATAGAATCAAAATAAAATGTGTGCAACCATTTGCATATATGAGAGCAATTTCTTATGATAGAGGATAGACAAGCACGGGGTTCACTTCATGGTAGGAATACCTCAGCCATATAACATCTGAACAAGATGCGCTATCGACCTATATTGGCTTGGGATATTCGGAAATCCACAGACTGAACGCGATTAAACTTCACGGATTTTTCATCTGCGGACTGGTTTGACAAAGGGAATACGTAAAGTGGCCTATAGAAGGAATCCATTTTGTCATTTGTAAAATTAATCGCAAGTTACAGCGTTATATATCATACCATAAGGAGACCTGGGATAGAACGGCGTCTTCTCATTCTGTGGTATTTCTACAACCTTCCCGTACAATTCTGAGGTAGACGCTTGGTATATCTTCGTCTGCTTCTCCAGTCTAGCTACCCTCACAGCCTCTAAAAGTCTCAACGTACCCAACGCGTCCACTTGCGCTGTATATTCGCTGAGTTCGAAGGAAACCTTTACGTGCGATTGAGCACCTAAATTGTAAATCTCCTTTGGTTTCACCTGAAAAAGTGATTTACTTGTCTCTAGTTTGTGCCAGTAACACATTTAACGGTTTAAAACGTGAAACGTATTAAGGGTTGTAAACCGTGAAAGGTGTTTTATTTGAAATATGTATTGATTACTTACATTTATATTTGCTGTTTCGACAATTACTGATTTATTATAGCTTAAATTAAACGACAATAAATAAAACTTGTTTAGACCCTCAAATAATATACTTTTATACAACTATCCAAATGAATTGTGACTATAGTCTGTTCGTAAGAACCGGAGGGCATGTTTGCATCAATATGATTGAATTATTTCGTATAAAAATAATTTACTAACGTCCTTACATATTCATTTGTTTATGTCTAACTTTGTCGTTATATTATACCAAAGTGACTTTTTGAAGAGGCATACGTTTCTTAAAGCAATAGATTTATGTATCTTATGAATATTAGACTATAGTCAATACATTGTAATTCAAATAACCCTTCTTGCGAATGAAATGCGATCCACACGTGTACAGTAGCTAAATAACATTTCTTGAAATTAAATCCGAAGTGTTGTCACGCATTGTTTTCAAGAATTTCAAAACAGTAATAGGTGTCACTTTACAGAAGTCTTCAGAGAACCAACTGAAACACCTTGAACTATTTATTAAGAACATATCATTTACGCAATATTAAACATGGGTGTTTTGGTATTGATGTTAATTTAGTAGAACGTCATAATAACCCTCTCCAATCAGTTATTGTTTTAAATACGTTTTAAGTGAAGGGCAAGTATTAATATGCCTTGAGATACAGGCTGGTGCTACATACAGCAGAGTAAATAAAAAGTTAATTATGTCACTTAACGGTTTAATCCTAAGCGTAATACATAATCAACAGTCTCACGTCTAATAATTGCTTTGTTGGACCGCGAAGGACGGACGAAGATAATTTCGAAGTTATTCACGAAAAGAGACGCTTAATGAAATGTTTAAAAAAACGACTTTTAACGGTTCAAAATGCAACATATGTATGCATTTACTTTTATTGCGATCCGATTGCAAACTTAAGTAGATCCATGGATCATATTTAATTTGAAAGTCCTGTTAGTAAAAATTCAACCGGATATTGATGATAGGGTACAGATAAGATTTTTTGTTATCTGATAAGACGTTCTTCCTTACTTTTACAAAGAATTGGTTTAACTTATCACGTTGATATTGAGTGATTAATATCATATTATAAATGTCTACTAATTTGTGGTACTGTTTTCACATACATAAATTGTGGCTTTGCTTGTCCAGTAACTCAATAACATACAAACTAAAGTAATAACTAAATAAAAAAATATTTATGTAGAAAAAAAATTTTCATGGAAGGAGTCGAACCCGCAGCATTCCATGTTGCTTACAGACAGTATGAAAAAGTGTAGTTCAATGTGAAAATGATGTTTCAAATAATTAATTTAATAAAATTTTGTATATCTAAAATTATTTAACCTTGACACAATATGAAGCATAAAAAATACAAGTATTTTGAGCTTTTAATAAACTGACCTGTTTGATCAAAATTTCTAGCATTTATTATTTTTAAAATTATACATTTAATGTATTAGTTCACAGAAATGTATGTTCCTATGTTGTTTCATAATGACCATATTCTAACATTAAAAATTTCTATTATTTACTCAACTGTAACTGAAGGTTGAATTTTTAGGTTTTAATTTAATTTTTTTTATTGAGTTCAAGGGATACTGCAAACAAAATGAAATAGAACATTGTTAGTATATTTGTACTATAGAAAAAAGCAACATTTAATATTTTCCAAATATTATTTGTAATCGCCTAACCCAAAATCGGTCTATAATAACTCTAAATATTACGAAATTGATAATCTCACCTTAGAAATAATACTGATAAGGCAAGTAGTATCTGTCAGATCTCCATAATGTAAATGCATTCTTCCCCCCGAATGACATGCTGGCTTTTCATACAAATGTTGAATACGGCCAGTGTTGAAGGATGAAGAACGTCTCAGAATCCCGTGAACTTCATATCCCTTTTCTATTAAAAACTCTGCTAAGTAAGAACCATCCTAGAAGTACCAAAATACAGTTAATTTCATATGTTTTTTTTGCACCAAATAACAAAATTATTTCTACAAAACAAGAATTCATGTGTATTCTTTATTTTTTACCAATTCCTCTAGTCTAAGTTATATTGTATGCTACATATAAATATTAAGAAAATGAAGCAACTTTGTAATGATGTTTTGAATAGAAAATAATGTTTAAAAACTTAATTTTTTACTTTTAATAAAAAGTAAAAAAAATTGTTTTGTGTAAAGTTAATAGATTTATAAACAACAGACATTGGATAAAAAACAATAAACTAAAAACATAAAACAAAATTGAAGTAGTGAACTAAAAGTGAGTCAGAGAATTAAAGATGTATTTTCCGAAATATCACATTCCAATAGCATTACTAAATCTATTGTAAAAGAGGTACATTATGGAAAGGTATTTTATTAAACCCAACACTTAGTTTAAATTTACCTGACCAGTTATTCCTGTGATAAAAGCCACTTTTTCATTTGCACAGGCATTCGACGTTTCTCCAGACATAATTTTGGTAGAATTTTTCTTTTGTTTAACTATAACCACGTCTGCAGCCGGCGAAACAACGACGATAACTTATCAGTGAAAATACAATTTCAAAATACAGAGGCGTTTACATAGCCGCAAATACTGATCTGTATGCAGCGCCGGTAAAATGATTCACAAATATATTGTAAGCTATTGATTTATATAAACAGATATATAAAATAATTGTTTGTAATAATATCTACATATAATATATTGCAATATTTTTTTTATTTAAAAATTAAAAATATAAACTTGAAAATTGATAACATAAATTGACACATGTCAAGTAAACTAAAAATGATTTGATAATCTTTGACAAACAGACAAAGTCGCATGCCCTACAGATATTTAATGCACGGTTATTATTTATATATTAAATATTTCCCATTCATTCTTTTATGATTTCGTACATTCAAAATATAAACATAATTGTAGTCAAGATAAGCAATAATGATGATATTAGCCCAATTACATTACTCTCATTGATAATTCTTTAACTGATGACAGCTGTCAAAAAGTAATGTCAGTGATCAAGTGCCATTAAACTAATAAAAATATGTTAACTGCATTATAATTCCATCACTTCATATGTTAAATACATTTAATTAATTGACTTTAATAGACATTTAGATAAAATTTAATCATAAATTAGTATAGAAGATAACAGAGTACCTTGCGTTACAAGCAATGTCATTTTCTCGACGGTCTTAATTTGTGTTTGATAACAACGTGATAAAATGCCTGAAATCAAAATAACCCCCCTGGGAGCTGGCCAGGATGTCGGAAGAAGCTGCATCTTACTTTCAATGGGTGGTAAGAACATTATGTTGGATTGCGGTATGCATATGGGCTATAATGATGAGCGACGATTTCCAGACTTCTCTTATATAGTTCCTGAAGGTCCTATTACCAGCCAAATAGACTGCGTCATCATATCTCACTTCCATCTTGATCATTGCGGTGCACTACCCTATATGTCAGAAATGGTTGGATACACAGGCCCTATTTACATGACACATCCAACTAAAGCCATAGCTCCCATTCTTCTTGAAGACATGAGAAAAGTAGCTGTTGAAAGAAAAGGTGAATCAAATTTTTTCACATCACAAATGATAAAAGATTGTATTAAGAAAGTCACAGCTGTTACACTACACCAGTCTGTGATGGTAGATAATGAATTGGAGATAAAAGCATACTATGCCGGTCATGTCCTTGGAGCTGCCATGTTTTGGATCAGAGTGGGTTCACAGTCAGTGGTCTATACGGGTGATTACAACATGACCCCAGACCGTCATTTAGGTGCTGCATGGATAGATAAGTGTCGACCTGACCTCTTAATATCAGAGTCCACATATGCAACTACCATAAGAGATTCAAAACGTTGCCGTGAAAGAGATTTCCTAAAAAAAGTTCATGAATGTGTTGAAAAAGGCGGTAAAGTACTGATTCCCGTATTTGCATTAGGAAGAGCTCAAGAATTATGTATTTTACTAGAAACATACTGGGAACGAATGAATTTGAAATATCCAGTCTACTTTGCACTTGGATTAACAGAAAAAGCTAATAATTATTATAAGATGTTTATAACATGGACCAATCAGAAGATTAGGAAGACGTTTGTTCAACGAAACATGTTTGACTTTAAACATATTAAACCATTTGATAAATCTTACATAGACAACCCAGGTGCAATGGTAGTATTTGCCACACCTGGCATGTTGCATGCGGGATTGTCTCTTAACATATTTAAGAAATGGGCGCCATATGAACAAAATATGTTAATTATGCCTGGTTTTTGTGTCCAAGGTACTGTGGGTCACAAAATATTAAATGGAGCAAAGAAAGTTGAATTTGAGAATCGTCAAGTAGTTGATGTTAAAATGGCAGTTGAATACATGTCATTTTCAGCTCACGCGGATGCTAAAGGTATTATGCAACTGATACAATACTGTGAACCAAAGAATGTACTACTTGTTCATGGCGAAGCACAAAAGATGGAGTTTTTAAAGGATAAAATTGAGAAAGAGTTCAGCATCAGTTGTTATATGCCGGCTAATGGTGAAACAGCTATAATTAACACACCCACAAAAATACCAATTGATGTTTCTCTTAGGTTACTTAAAGCGGAAGCTGTTAGATACAACGCGCAGCCACCAGATCCAAAGAGACGTCGCGTCGTACATGGAATTCTATGTGTCAAAGATAATAGACTATCATTCCTAGATATAGATGAAGTTTGTGAAGAAATTGGTATAAATAGGCATGTTATTCGTTTTACTAGTACAGTTCGGTTTGATGACCCAGGCCCAGCAGTCAAAACGGCAGAGAAATTAAAGGGTCTGTTGACTGAAAAATTACAGGGTTGGTCAATTACGATATCGGATGGTAACATATCTGTAGAATCTGTTCTTATTAAAGTTGAAGGTGAAGATGAAAGTACCAAAAATATTTATGTGTCATGGACAAATCAAGATGAAGACTTAGGGAGTTACATTTTGGGATTACTTCAGTCTATGGTTCAATAAAAATTTATTAGTTAGTAAGAATAAGTAGTTCATAGTTTATTTTTGAAAATAAAAATACCATTTCTCATATTTCTGTTTTTATTAAGCACACCATGTCATATCCATATTACACTTTCCTTGGTACCATAAGTATTGCATCCTGTTTTTTTTGGTTTAAATGTTTTGTTTCTTCTTCTACCATTTGAATGTCTTTATTTTGTTGCTGTAAAAATAAATTGGTTCTAAATAATAGGTTTTTATATATTTTTACAAGTTTGTTTCTTTTTAAGGACTACAGTCTTAAATCCAGGAACTTGCTTTTAATTATGGTGTCCAGTGTAACGCGTGTATATTTTGCTAGAAACTACCCTCACTACATTATAGGTAAACGTTAAATTCATATTCATTATTTAAGCATTCTACAAGTATATATTATAAGGCAGTTAGGCATAGGCAGAATAGTGTTTTCCCTTCTACAACAAATTATAGCGTAAGCAATGACAATAAAAAAAACATCAAAGATGCTAACCATCGTCGGAGGAAATAATCTTCGGAAATCTCCTTTATGTAAATTTTCCATGTGTGCTTTTAAAAGCGCCTTTTTTAGTTGCGGCGTAAGACACGGTTTACATAACGCGCAAACAGATATCGCTTCGCAGGTTTCCTTGCAAACGGTGCTGCATTGTTTGCTATAAACCGCAATATTTTTTTGAGACGATAACATATTTTGTACTGTATTGTTGCTGAAAATAAAATATTTTAATGCGGGTTAAACATTTCACTGTCTGAAGAAAAACGTAGGTACAGCTGTTGTTTTCTGCATAAGAAATAGAAAAAGAAAACGTTTGAGGTGTAAACTTAATCATGCCTAACGCTCACAGTACTTTGTAGCGTTTAATTAAATCACTTTGACGGTTTAAAACGCGATATATAGTTAAACTTATTTGAAAATTATTTTTAACTACGGCCTGACTTTTTGGATGCTTTGCAGCAGCCGTGTTTGCGGTGTTTAACTAAACTATATCGCATTTTAAACCGTTAAAAGTGTTTTATTTAAATGTGTACTACTCGCGTAAATTGCATAAAGTACTTTGTAACGTGTTACGTGATTCAATTCAATTAAATAATTATCTTTTTTTTAATATTGAACCTATCTTACAACCTTTAATTACAATTTACATATTGTTATTCTTTGTAGTGCTAAAGTACGGTACGACAGTTGGTCGTGGGTTGCAATCGCGCGTGATTTTTTTTAATTTAAAATTATTATTAATTATAATAATTTTAATATACGGTAATTACCTTATATCTCTAATGCTACTAGCTACACCAGTCAACGAGAACAAATTGTACAAAATTTGTTCGTAGAGCATCTGATTTGGTGGAAAATGGGCTGAGCTAAGGTTTGGTGACATATTGGCTTCCAGGAGGTAGACTTTTAACTGTTCGTCTACTATAAAGTCGAAACGCATCATTTCGAAGAAGTTGTCACTTGACTTGTACCTCTTTAACTGAAAGGAAGTGAAGTAAGTCAGTATTAAGATTAAATTAGTGTGTATATTTTTACATTTAAAGGTCTTTGAGTATAATCAAGTTTTTTATGATTAACAATATAAAAAGCAAAATAATCGAATAAGATTTTGAAATCAACAGATACCAAAATCTCTTAATCACATGTTTCCTATTATATATATGAGGGGGGCGGGGGGGGGGGGGGGGGGGAAAAAAAAAAAAAAATGGGGGGGGGGGGGGGGGGGGGGGGGGGGGGGGGGGGGGGAAAAAAAAGGGGGGGGGGGGGGGGGGGGGGGGGGGGGGGGGGGGGGGGGGGGGGCGCCGGGCCCCGGGGGGGGGGGTGGTTTTTTTTTTTTTCCCGGGGGCCGGGGGGGGGGGGGGGAAAAGGGGGAAGGGAGGGGAGGCCCCCCCCCCAAAAGGGGGGGGGGGGGGGGCCCCCCCCCCCCCCGGGGGGAAAAAAAATGGGGGGGGGGGGGGGGGGGGGGGGGGAAGGCCCCCGCCTCCTGGTTTTTGCCCGACCGGGGGGGGGGGGGGGCTCATGTTCCTTGGGGGGGGATTTTTAAAAATTTAGGGGGGTTTTTTTTAAAGGGGGGACGCCGCCCCCCCGGGCGCGGGGGGGAGGGGCAAGGGGCGGAAGCAACGGTGGCGGCGGAGCTTCCAGTACAGAGAAGCGGGTCGACTATAAATATCGTGCGCTAATCTGAATTATGTCTTAAACAACACTTCTGTGCACAAGTGTTATCGAAGTGATGCAAACTTACAGCCTCAATAATACGTCGGATTTTCCCGAATTTTTGATAAAAACTTCTGTAATAGCTTTCCATGTATTTCGGAGCTAACTTGGAAGGAGGTTGTCCACATGCTTTCCCGCTATTCAGACCCTGACAAAGAAAACATGTTGTTGTTTTCCGGGGGTTGAAGGAGGTTGTCCGTGGGGTGTTGGGATACAGACATAGATACCCTAGTGGTGTCGGAGGCTGGGAGTTGGCCATGGGTTGGTTCGACACCGGTCCAGTTACGCTATGTATAGCTTTATTCAGTCACTGAACGTGATGACTATTGGTAAAACTGTCACAGGGTTGACTTAAGAGTCTGTGCGGTCACAGGGATGACCTACAGTTACAATTGATGTTTACATGGGTTGTGTTGTTATTAATAATGTTTCTGATTTTTTTTAGGTGTATTGTGTTTTGTGACACAAGAGATAGTTTTGTTAGAACGATCCTGATTAGGTCAGATATGGCCGAGCGAGAATGATACTGCGTGCAATTTAATTCCTTTCAGACTAGCCACGAGGACGTGGCTCACTCAGGATGGCCGTGTCGCATCCGGGTCATGCGTACGGGACGTCAACAACACAAACGTCACTTTGACGTGTAGAGTCTAGGCAACGGGAGGGGGCAACGATAATAAAAAGGAGCGCATTTGTTGAGTCGAGTTCAGTTACCGTTGGATCGTCATAAGTCACCTGCCAAGGAACTGACTATTATTATTTCTTACCCGGAATCCTGCTGATTCCGACAAAGAGTGACCAAGAAGACAACGTAACTCCGACATATAAATATACTATAAATATTGGCTAATCTAATTATGTCTTAAACACACTTCCACAAGTGTTATCGAGTGATGCAAACTTACAGCCTCAATAATGTGATTTTCATTTTTGATAAAAACTTCTGTAATAGCTTTCTGTATTTCCTCCCACATGCTTTCCGTATTCAGACCCTGAAAAGAAAACATTCCGCTATGTATAATAAGGGCCAAACGTTACCTACTTAAAAGTTTCAGTAAAGAAGCTGCTCCTACGTTAGGAACGGGACGTTTGACTAATAGATTTTATTTACAGACAATGTAATCTTACAAAAACTATGTTAAAAGCTTTGTAGGAGACAAAAAAAAAATTAAGTGACTTTAAAACTCATCATTGCATATATAAATATATAAGATTTATTTCGAAGTAATTTTCAGATACTTAACCAAAAACAAATGTTTTTTGCAATAACATAGTATTCAATTAATAATGGGAAAAATGTATGCATTGATTTGAACGTACCTTTGATTGCGCATAGTGGTCAAAAGCACCCTTCATACCGAAGCCCAGTGCTGTGTATGGATGTGCCAATGAAGGTACTTCCCACGTTGGAAGATAGTCATCACTAATCACATATTTGTCCAAGTTTTTTGGGTCAAAAGGGTGATACTTCGATGGGCAATATCTATAACAATTCATAAAATAGACACTAAATTAATACTGCCGCGTTGCTCAATTGTCAAAAATTCACAGATGATAAAGCCGTGAAATTTAATCGCGTTCCGGTATCAGTGCGTGGACATCCGAATATCTTATAAGCCAAAATTGGTCGACAGCACATCTTGTTTAGATGTTATATGGCTTATCATTTAACTTGTCTGTCTTGCTTCGAATCCAGGGATGCAAAGAAAGTTTTGCTCTGGAGGCGATAGCTAAGTGCCTATCAATCAAAGCGATCCGTAAAATGGATCTAGAACGTTGCGCCTGCCCAATGTCTCTTTTAAGGGATTTGTGTAAAATAGTCAATACTTTAAATACACATATTTATAAATATGCACTTACACGCTTAAATTTATAATTCTGAACTTTTTATTGACAGCGTAGTCCTTAAACCCAAAGTCCTTCGAAGTTAAACTCGGTTAGAGTTAGTTTTAATTTAGTGTTAGAGTAGTGTGATAGACGATACACTACTAAGATAAAATTATAAGTTCCTCATAGTTCACTCTCAATTAGAAATAATATCGTGATGTGTATTAAGACCTATGTTGGGAACCAGAGTTCGACATTTTACAGAAACCGTCTTATATTAGCTAAGTAAAAATAATCTCTCGTCCATTCATAGAGAAAATAATAGGTATTCAATAGTACATTATGAAAATAGCAAATAATTTATTAAGAGCGTTTCCTCATGTCTAAATGTAACGAAGCGGTCAGTAAATAGAGCGGACAATTACATGTGATACAATAATATAAATGCGATATTAGCACAACTAAGACTAATATTGTTCTTGAAAATATGATACATATATTACAACATAGGACAGATAAGCGTAGAGTTCACTTGAAAAAAGTTGAAATACCCTAGTCTAAAAAGCATGCGCTTGCGACGTAATTTTGCTTCAGGCATTAAATATCAGGACTTTGTCTATCTGTGGATGGTAGTTCGTGTCACGGCAATTTCGTATCGTTTCGTAATACTTTAATTAATTTTAAAAAAAAAAAAAAATTTTTTTTTTTTAAAAGGGGGGGGAGGAAAAAGGAAAAAAAAAAAAAAAAAAAAAAAAAAAAAAAAAAAAATTTTTCCCCGGCCCCCCCCAAAAAGGGGGCCCCCCGGGGGGCCGCCGGGAAAAGGCGGGGGGGGGGGGGGGGGGGCCGGTTTCCGCCCCCCCCGGGGGGGAAAATTTTTTTTCGATTTTAAAATAAATTTTCAAAACATGTTTGTCCTGGTGGAAAAGAAACTCCCGAACTATTGTTTGTTAGGCATACCACGTATCTACTAGATGAACAACAAAAAATTTTGGGCAAAAGGATTAGTAGTAGAATTGGCTAAGAAATATAATAAAATTGAAATATAGATTAGTATGTACCTACTCATAATGTGGGTAGGTTACTTACGTTAGGTTTGATTAATTTTTAACAGACTTCAAATTTGTATGACAACTTCACAGACTATGTTCGATAAATTTAAATGCTGGCGGGTAGGTCTCGGAATTTAGTATCTACCCCGCCGACCGGTGTTTTTGGCGATGCGCGGGGTTGCAGATCGTCGCACAGGCAGACCGCGTGCCATCGAAAAGTTTGAACTTTTTAACAATTGCAATACTTTAATAATTAGTATCCGTGACACCGTCTGCAAGTACCTGGTGCTGAAGGGCTGGAACGATTGCTGCGAGGCAAGGTTAGTGGCGATGTTTTTACTCATACCGCATATCTAATTTCTTTACTTTATACATGCCATTAAACATCGAACATATGTTTTGGTCTTATTCGAGCAGAATTTTTATTACGTATAGTTAGAATATTCATAATGCCTAAAGATACACAATAAAAAAGAAAAACCACTAAGCAAATCAATTAGTAAAAGTACTGGCTCAAAACAAGGGTTGATCAGTCTATCAATGCCTAGTAATCTTACATCCTAACGTGAAAAATTTTATTGCGTGTCTATTAATAATTATAATTTACATAAATCTTTAAAACCTGACGGAATTCGGATCAAGAGCTAAATTCTTTCGAAGACTGTCATGCTGCGTGTGGCTAAGTACAAAAATGTGGCGGACTCGCAAACAATCGCGGCCACGGCCAGCACTAGTAGTTCTTTGTAAACCTAAATTAGCCGAAATTAGAATTATATTAGGTGGTAATATTGAACATTTTGTTTCATTTGTGTTGCATAAAACAGTATTTCGAATATCGATAAATTTCATTGGTTGTCGTGTAAAAAGCAGATGACTTACCTAAATAGAACATCACCTTTATACCAGTAGACTCTCAGAGGATCCACCGACGTCAGCGCAACATACACGCCAATATCGAACTTATGTCCATCAACAAGAAACGGTTTCGCCATGTACTCTTGTACGAAACTTTCGCCGCTATTCAAATCGATTTCGCTCACGTTCTTCAAGTAAACACCTCTGTGCTGATTGTGCTTTTCCAAAAACAACGCTTCTCTATTCTCTTTGGCATATCTTAAAAATTCCTTTTTATTTTTCGGCAACTCGAACGCTTTCGGTATATATCTCGAAGTTGATGTGGCCAGATGCACTTTGTTCGTTATAAATCCAGTGCCAGGGAAGTGGTTAACTTTTTGCGTGGGTTTTAAATTGGTAACAGCTTTGTTTAATACGCGAAATGGGTAATCATGCGACCAGAGCAATGACCAATCGCTGTCATTGCTTGTCTTCGTGTAGTCCAGTCTTTCCAGGACCAAATGCACATGTTTAAGTAGGCCGTTCTTATTGTCTACATCATTGTGGGCAGAATATACCCAATAGTTTCTGATTTTTAACTTATCTTTGGTCTGTTGTCTGTTCTGTACGTTGATGATTTCTAAAGCTATGCCTAAAGAAACACCGATTATGCAAATAAGGAATAATAGGTTGATGTTCTTATCGTTTCTAGGTATTTCACTTTTTGTTTCGATGTTATTGTTGATGTTTCTAGGCGCTTCCTTTTCCGGCTTATTCTGAAATAGGTAAACATTTTATATTATTTGATTATTATTTTTTTCTCTATCCTTTGTCAATTCAGAAGCTATGTTTTCTTGGAATAATATAGTCAAGCGTTCGATCTCTAACAAAACTCTAAAATATGATTCCCTGTACATAGAATATAGGTAGGCTGACATTATGTCAGCAGAGTATCGTAAAATTGACTATTATTGATTTGATGTTAAAATTATATATGGCTTCGACATACCTTATGAATTTAGTTACGGTATTGAGCTACCTCACTTAACGTTTTAGTTAAGGTTTTTAAATATCGCGAGTAGTACACATTTAAATAAAACACTTTAAGGGTTAAAAACGTGAAATATATTAGTTAAACTTATGTTAATATTAACTACTTTCTGAATGTCTATATTATAAATGTATGAATGTAATTTAACGCTGGCAAACCAGGAGTGTGATATTTGTAAAACATTAAAATACCTAGCCAATAAAATATATAAACAGTACGAAGTAATGTTATAACTTTAATTAAACACTGAAACCGTTAAATTAATGTTGAATTACTTACGTCGGATTTTTTAATCTTCATTGTGTTGTTACATTGTTGTTACGATTTTATTTATCGTATTTATCCTCTATACGAATTATAGTGGCGTATAAATCCCTTTTTCGAAGTTCACAACAAAATAGCCATAAGCAAAATTAAAAAGAAAACAAATGTACGCCAAACAGGTACATATAACAACATACGAACAGTGAATGAAAGTATTACAGAAAGAGACATCTCAGCTTATGGGAACGAACGAGACAAAATGCACTTTCTAAAACCAGTTGTGTGAACTTCGTAGCTCTTTAGGTCATTATATGTTTGGCATACAAATAAAAAAAAGTATTTATAGTGAAAATAGATCTGACTAGCTCATACATATGCTAGTGAGACCCATCTTCAATGATTTAGTTATAGATAATACACTTGACTGCCTCATTTCTCCAATGGTAGGGAAGCACGGGCCGTGGGTTCGATTTCCTGTAGCTCCAACAAATTTATATCACTTGATAATTTTCTGAATCATGTTAGAGTGATATAGACTATATATACATCGAAATCCGTCCAGGTTTCAGTTTAAGTCTGGATTTCTTTACGCGCTAAGTCCATAGCGCCTTTCGTTTAATCATCGTCTGTGTGTCAGTACCATTTTCTTAACGACCGAGGTGGTCGTTAAGAAAATTCGTACTAACATTCTGAGGGACAAACAAGCATAGTAAATACCATAATATAATCCCTTTTAAATATAAATCAGTTCTATATACTCACTGATTTGACAATATGTTTATCTATTGCTTATCACATACCTCCCACATAGCATTCCGTTTGTGGTTCTCGTGGTTGTTTTAAGAATGCTGGTATGCATTATCGCAATACCTTTATACATATGTGTATAGACATTAAAATATATATGCTATCTGTATACCTCGTGTCTCTATACGTTAAAAACTGGAGAAATAAAAGGCAGACCAACACAAATTTGTTCTTAAAATGTTGATTTATATATTCTCACACGAACGTTTTGATGTGTTTATACCTAAGTAATAAAATATCTTTATTTTAAAATAATTGCTAGTTTCGTACTTGAATGTTTAATTAAATTCTTGTAGCGTCGTCAATGTTATCATTAGGTCGGTAAAGTAAAAATTACACAATACTTGTCACTTAAAAGAGGTTATCTATGTGTGTATTATTTTTATTTACACAGTAAATAGTACCAGTAGCAGTAATTTACTAATACGTAAATATTCAAATAATAAACCTTCAGATACACTGAGGTGGATAGAGATGTGTGTCCGCCACGTATACTAAGAGCCTTTACTTTTCTATAAATCCTTGTTGTTTATGACAGTTCCAGACTTAGGATTTCCTTTTCAAGTATATTTTGGCCTTATGATTACTATCACGGCAAAGATATCTCCAATAGACAGAGTAACGATAAAACAGACGATAAATCGATAAGATATGGCATTATCTGCGAGTGTTTACGATAAATGCAGACAGGCTGACTGGCGCCAAGGATAATCTTGACGTTCTGTGTTATCTGTGGTTTTAGATGTGCACTAAGATAAGCTAAATAATTTGGCGGGAACGCGAAACACTCATCATTGAGATGGACTCAGTCTTTATAATTTATTTTAATTAATATATCGAAATAAAATCAACAAAATACGTAGACTTAAGCGTATGTTAGTTTTTCGATAAAATATTTTCCAGGTTAGATTGCAATTACAAATTGGGTATAGAATATTACTACAATACATACAATGTAAGTATCTAAAACTGTTGTTGCATCAAGCATTAAGTCTATATTTGAGTAATGGGACATTTGAGCTGCCATTACATGAAAATATTACTTATATCAAACCACATTGTAGTATTCCATAGAAAGAGGACAATTGAAAGATTTTGTTTATAGATAGTGTTTGCGGGCAGGAGCTAGTTAGGCGTCGCATAGTCTGCAGAGACATCGATCGTACGCACCCGAATCGCATAAGACTAGAGTCACCATACATTTAAAAAACGCAAAATTCTCTCCCTAATTACTAACTACGTACATTATTTTAGTAACTTGACAAAACAAAGTAGTTTCGTTTAAATTTCGCCATGTGTTGGTTTTAAACCTATTTTTAGAAAATTGATAGACTGCATAACGCATTTGTAACCACTTCAACTCGTCTGATTCTCAGGTCAACGATGATTGATCTCCGATTCCGTTCACCCGTGAGTACTGATTACATACATATCTATAGTTTTAAAGTTTTGCCCATAAAAAAATATCTTCGCTTTTATAAGGATCCTAACTAATATATACATTTCACTTGGCAGCTCTTATACATAATATAACTTTCCATCTGTGTCAAAACCACTGTCTATATACAAAAAAACTGATTTTTGCAGTATGCAAAATATGTTATCTTATTGTAGGTTGTTTTATTAAATAAAATTACGTTAATTAAGTATGTTCTTCTAAAGGTTAAAAGGTTTTTATAAGCCCGGCGGTTAGGGCAGGAACGATTTACATATTAATTGAGAATTTAATATAAGACTAATACATATGTTGTACACACTTATAAAAGAATTAGTGGTCACCCCACGCAACAAACACCGCGCGACAAACCGGCGCCAATACTTCTGTGGTACAATAGGATTCAGAGCTTTCAGTCGCGAAACATTTCCATTGCGTTACATAAGTACTTATCTGTTTTATTTTCATTGCGAACTGCCAAACCATATCTTTACTAATATTGAAGAGTTTGTTTGTTTTTTAGACGCGCTAATTAATGGGGCTATACAAATCACGATGAGACCGAGAGGAGCAAATAAACAGTTGATCTGAGGAAAAACCTTTCCTCATTTTTGAAGATAAAAAAAATATATCCGAAATAATAATCCCTCTATTTTTATATATATATATATTATATATAATTGATCTAAATATGTCCGCGAAAGTATATCTATGTTGTAAGATTAACTTACAAGAACAACAGGACGCGAACGACGTGGTGGGTAAGAGCTATAATTTATAAAGATCTAGTAGAAATAAAAAAGGGTTATACGTAACTAAAACATACTCGCGTTATATAGTTAGCAAGACTACTTGTAGTTACTCTGTCCTAAATTCAATATTCTGTGTTTTTCACAAATTTGATTGGCAAATTAAGACATGTGCATTACATATTTTTAATTGTATTACATAAAGTTACACTGCGCTGTTGTGTTTATGAAAGTTCGAGTCAGCCTAAGGGTAGAATAATTTATCTATATATCTTATAAGGAAAAACGATCAATAACCAAAGGAACTTGAAGAATTGGTCTTAACTTTTTTAAAACACGCATAAAGAAAGCTATTTAATGTACATTTTATTCTATAAATATTTTAATGTATGTACATATATAGGTATATTCTTTGGGACTACTTAAATAAGACTGTACGCGAACCTCGCTTCAAATCGAAAGAACTCTCAAACTTTCTAAGTAAACAGACAATCTAGAATTTATGATAACAACTCTGAATTGTATTTTCTAGGTCGAACTTATATTTTCTGTTATTTCTGGGCCCAATTGACAATTTGCAGACATCCAGGCTAAAATAGAACCAAGTGACTTTTGTTATTGGTCAATTAGTTTATCAGAGAATTTCTTTGTATATTTTAAACACCCTTGTCATATTTGCTTCACTCCTTATTAATTAAATTATATTCTATTGTGTCACTAAAAAATAAATTATGATTAATCCGGCGTAATCTTTGAAATAAGAATAGAAAAAAACCCAAATATAATTATGAAAAAGTTGATTTATTATTAATATAATTATAATAATTATTATAATACAGTTTACAATAATTACAAGCGATCACCAAACGGGGTGAAAGAAAACGGCGTATTAAATTATTTAGGCTTGTCTCATACGAGTCGCGTGGGCGCAACAAATCGCGCGTCGCAACCGCCACATCTCAGACGCGGTTGCGAGCTATTTGGCATGTCGGCAAACTATAGTTCGTTCGACGGACCCCAAAACTACGTCTGAGATGTAACACTACGATTAAAGTCCAAAGCGCTATGTTTGCCCACGCGATGCGTCTGGGAAACCACCATTTGATTTAGGATATAGTCTTTGAACGCGAGGAACAAAATGTTACACAAGTCGAGAATATTATTTATAATCGATTCGGATTAAATCGGATTCGAGCGGCGAAGCGGGGAGCGGGGCGGGCGGCGGAGGCTATTTACAAGCCGCTACGGGCAGTCGCACTCTTCAACCACCATCTCGGGCAGGTCGCGTTTGATGATGTTCGAGTCGGCGCCGAAGTAGATCAGCGAGAGCGCAGAGAAACGTACCGGGGCGCAGCACGCGGCGCGCTCAAGGCGGGCGGCTTCTACCACCTGCACAAAAACATAATTAAATATGTAGATAATTTTTTTCTTTAGCGCTAAAGTGTTGTTCATTAAACAGTTTTTTAGCAGATTTTTATTTACATAAGTAAAGATGTTAGTATACTACCTATTATATATTATTATTACTACTACCTATTATATATTATCATAATATTCTTTACAAGTGATTTTATCACTCGCAATTAATTATCGGAAAAATAACATTACCTGCGAGTGATAGTTGAGGAAAGGCTCACACGCGCCACGGCAGTAATTAGCGTAATAACCCTCGGGTGCAACGATCCAGTCGTCCCAGCCGAGCGCGCGGAAGCTCACATAGTATGTCTGTCGACAACAGCGCCCGTGCGCAGCTGCATCGCAATCCAACGCACGGCGACGTCGAGGTGCGTGCGGTGCCAATCGCAATCGCAAAAGCGGTCGCGCTGACGCAGCACCACCTAATCTCAGCCGCACGCGACCAGCACATCCACTGCAATCAAGCAATAGTCGCAGCGGCTGGCGTGCCCCATCCGCTGCCCAGCGACGTGCCGCTGTTGTTACATCCAGTCTTTGCCAGCCGCGGCCACTGCCAGTAGGGCCTGTAATAAATTCAAATAGAACACTTTCAACGGTTTAAAATGTGAAATATATTAGAAAACATATTTTTAACTACGGCTTTGGCGTTTCGGATGTTCTCCAGCAGCATTTATAAAATAAAGTTGCTCCCTCAGAATTGTATATTTTGATTCATATAGAGTCCACACAGACGCGTTTTATTCCAGATGGCTGCGAACCAATGACTTGTAAAAAACCTTGACTATTGTTAAGTAAGTGAAGCCTTGCATTTATCGAAGAACAAAACCCAAGCTTTCTTCCTTTGTACGAACCTCCCACATCTGTCGCGCCGGCCATTTCACCAACAGTACTATTCCCGTGTACCGTGAACGCCCACAAGGTGTATCGCATACGGCGCGCCCGAGGCGCCGTCTCAGCGCGCACCATTAGCTCAGCCTCTGCTACGGAGAGCCCTTGTTCTGACTCCGCTTCCGAGCCGAGACGAAATTCTATTAATCGCTGTCCATTTAGTGTTTCACCTGAGGAACGCGTTTGTTATAAATAAGCAGTTTATAATAGCTTTTTTTAATATCGAAAAAATAATATAGAAGTTGAGGTGACCAAAAACAAAATATGTAAGACAGCTGTAATAGTCGAATTGCAAATAGATTTGAAGCCGGTGCACACGTTTGTCGCCCGTGGCTGCAGGCTACGCTTACCCTCTCGTCGTGTATGCACACCCTAAGTTGATAGGTGAACATACAGGGCGATTCGAGCTCGCGATACCGTGCGCACAACAGCTTATAAACATTAATTTATAATAATTATATACGACATAACAGCAGCCTTTAAGTTTAAAAATAAATAATCCATCGTTGTGTCCCAAGTTTTGTCATACAGCTGTTACCTGCAACAAGGAAATAATACAATTTAATAAAACGTTAAGTATAAATTTAACTTTTACAAAACTCTCTTGGTACAATGGTAACAATGTATCTAGTAGTTAATAATCATTGGGCCGTGGGTTCGATTTTTACAATGATCAATATGTGTCTAAAATCAATTGATTTATTATGTTCAGAATAACATTAGTCAAATTAATAGTAAAGTAATAGAAAATATCATGAAAATCAGTTACAACGGATGTTTCTTCTTCATTTAAATGAATGAAATTTTAAAAAGGCAGTGATAAAAATCGGAGATAAACGCGATAGCGATATATAACAGAATTGAAATAACTCCATCGGTATAAAACTTATCGTCACCTGTAAACGGTTATCGATAAATCGCTTTTCCGATAATACATGAAAGGTTTCCGTTTTTACAAGAGCTTCTGAAATTAAACTACTAGTAAAAAATTGCCACAAATTAAAGTAAAAACACATTGAAGCATCAATATAATTTGTATATTTTCGAAAGTAGCAAAAGTGCGAGACTTGTGTCCAAGAGTTCTGATATCATTACTGAGGTATAAACAATGTTATTATTATGACTTTCTTTAGTTATTTTAATTTCCAAGCGCAAAAAGGTTATATACATTCCATAATAGTAACTTAGTAGTAGAATGCAGATCGTAGCAGTAAATATACCTACTACTGGTCGATTGGTTAGAGTAGCACGGAACGCTGTGGATGCCGATTCCAGTCTGCACATGTTCCATTTTTTTTCAACCTAAATAGTCTTTGTATACTATCTTATCTGAACAAACTAATTGTGACTTAGCGTTGCCATGTTTCTTAAAAATCTAGCCCTTAAAAGATTTTAATAGAATATAATCGTAAATAAAGTTAGCTTATCATCTGGAACAACAAATTGACTAAGACTTAAAAACAAAAGTCGCCATCTCGTAAGTAACTTACCAAGCTAAGGCTGAACACGCGTGCGAAGACCTAGATTGGAACTGAGGTGACCCAAAGAAAGTCATTTGAAGGCGATGGTGTTTTAAAATTAGCATCAGGGTGAATTATTTACTGCAACAATCGACCGTTGGCCGGGGTAGTGAGCGCTAAGTTACGTAATCTTAACGACAATCGACTGCTAAGGCTTAAGAATTTCGTACTTGATATCGAGTAAATGTATTAAAGTCGCCTGAAGGAAATATGGAAAATAAAAACGTTGATTGAAAAAAAAAATATACCTTATTTGTAGTTATGTGAACGCGTCACAACTCGCTTAAGATTGAATATGCTAAAGACATCAGGGTTGTTAGATCTTTATAAAAAAAATAGATAATTTTCTTAGCAAAAATTATGTATCGACAAAACAAAAATAAGACAAATCTACTAAACGCGAATTAGGAATCTCGCGCGAAGGGTTCTTTACTATTAGTATTTAATGAGATCGTGGAAAAAAGAGCAGAATAAATGAGTTGAGAAAAAATATCTAGTAACAGAAATATACCATTTGTGATAATACTATCTCACTGCCTGTGAGATACAAGTCCTTTAGAGGAGACAAAAAAACTGACAAACGTAGTAGAAAGTTTTTTAAGTAAATAAAACACTTTAACCGTTTAAAACGCTAATATATTAGTTAACTTATTTACAAAATATTTTAACTACGGTCCAACGTGTGTTTACAGAACGTTTGGGTACGAAACTCTAAAAACAAAACGCGAGCCAAATTAATAGCTCAAAATGAAGTCTGTGCCTAAATTACTTGTTCTGCGAATTCATACGTCTTGTGATTGCTTACGACCCTTTGACATTAAAAAAGCTCGAACAAAGTTCAAAAAACTCCAACCCACACTTTATTTAACGTCCTTCAACTCGTGCAAAAAATAAAAACTGCCGATGTATTCAATGTAACCGAAAAAATATTTTATCATTATTTCTTTAGAAGCTTGAATTGATTAATAGAAATTGGGTCCTATTAAATACTGTCTGTTCTCCTTATTGAAAATCATGTATTTGTTATTAGGCCACTCTGCCTCTAGCAGGCTCATATATGATTAGTAATATTATATAATAAATTCAGTGCACTGTAGCAAAAAATAATAGGCGACATCAAATCGTAAGTTGTGCGCTGCGGAGTTAATAGAATAATGTCACGCGATGCGTTTAATGTTTTAACACTTCAAAGAGTTAAGTCTAAGCCAAAAAACTATTAAGAATTATTGCTTTTTTTGCAAATTTATTCAAAATGGCCGCACATAAGCGCAGTAATTATACTTACGTGATATTTGAATACCGAAAAAAAAACGGTATCCCATATATTTTTAAAACTTATAGTTGTACTGAGTATTTTTTCCTAGCGTTAACGTATCTTTTTTGCCGTTATAAAATAAAATATACATACACCTAATTAAGATTCCTGGGTTCGAATCTCGGTGAGACAATAAATCCAAGCGGTTGAGCTGGACATAGAAAGACATGGACAGATCTGCCATTAAATATAGTCAATTAATTAATCGGACATAAAATGTGTTTGCCCACAAGTCTCAAAGGGAGAAAATGGAATTTCACTTTATAAGTAATTGATAATGTGTTTACCAAATTATCTTGATCAGTCCAGCATCACAAATAGCATATTATTTCTCACGGAACAAGCAATAAATTTAGTATATACATGAAATTGAAACAAGCTTTCCTGATAATTGTCTATTACCTATTTTACGATGTAGTGGATTACGTAATGCGTAAGTTGGTACTAATATAAGCGAAATATTTATTTTTTCTCATGATTAGGGCGTTACGATGCTACACAAAAACTTCCCTAATTGGTTCCTTTATTCCCGTGATAATTAATTAATATAGTGTATAACAACAATTGTCTACGAAATAATTATGTATTTTTATCGTTTAGAAATTATGTGTAGTTGAGATTAGGCATAATTTATTATTATATAAGTTTTAATCAAAGTTAAATTATACGATTATTTATTTCTCGCAATAAATTATTAGAATTATATTTTACAGCATCATTGCGTATGACTAAGTTATTTTAAAAAACAACTTTGATATAAATTGTGTAAGTCTTTCACGGCCATCGATCAGCATATCATTGTTTTTCGGGCTGTTCGGCCGACGTGAGCGAGAAAAGGTTCTCGACGTTTCAACTTTTATATATTTTTCGTGGCCTACGAACGTTTTCGTTTATTTTAAATCCATATCTATAAATTGATAAATAAATAATGTATAACTTAAATAACGAATTTTGTGCAGACCAACATATCTTGGGCAAATCTACATCCGATATTCTATAAATGTTGGCATTTAATTATATTATTTACGTGGTTACAAAATAAAATTACAAATAGCTCTAGTAGATACTCATTTAGAAACAAATAGAGCATAAAACACTCACGTAGGAAAATTGTGATCGCGTAAAAAGTTTCCCGCGCCGCCCCGCGTAGGATTTCCCTCCCGATTCAGATACATGACTGAATGGAAATTGGGAAAGCCGTGCTTTTATACCGAGGGGGTGGTTCCGATGAATCAGTTCTTGGGAAAGCATTTTTGGAACGTGTACAACTTATAAAGATATACGCTTAGCTCTTTTATTTATTACACTGTAGATGCTCCATAATTTCTACTTATTGTGGTAATTTTGCAAATAATTATTAGGCTAGGAGTCGTTATAAAGTCTGCAAATTAATTGTACAGGAAAAAAATAGATAAAGAAGTAAAGAATGCATAAATGTTTATACACCAATCATTAGTGATTGATAAAAATTAATTCTTTTTAGACTAGAAAAAACTGATGTGTATGTAGTTTTTTTTATGTGTTTCATTTGCAGTGACAACAGCGAGCCTAATCTAGAAAAAAGGAGAATATTATTAAAATTATCATACTCATGTTTCTACGATAAGATTTATTTTTCAGATTGGAGGATTATATAAATTGCCTAACTGTAATTAACGAAATAAAGCCAATATAATACCTACACCATAGTGCATATTAAATGCGCTTTCATTTCAATTAAAAACTAATTTATTTGTTATGAAAAGAATAATCTAGAATGCGTAATGCTACCCTTACATTTTTATTAGAAAATGCACACTCAAGATTCGTCCGCATTCGCTATAAAAGATAAAAGCCTCTTAGATAAAATATGATGTAGTTCAAAAGTATTGGTGAAGCGTACATTTCAATCAATTCTTGGCAGACACCCAGTCACCATGTTTGCGCGACTGTATGGCGCCAGTTAAAAATCATAAGAAACATCTTGCACAGAATAATACGTATACTCGACATGGTGTACAAAACAGGGATCACACATACATACAAACATTGAAAGTTCGTTTTATATTTAACAATAACTTACTCACACCTTTATTATGTAAAGTGAAAAAGAAGTAATTAAAATACTTTTAATTTTCTACCAAATAGATGCATCTCTATTTCTCTGTTTTTAGCGAATATAAAGGTTGTATCGATTTTAAATATTTTTTTATATACCTATACAATATAACAAGAAGAAAGTTAAAATTATAGAAAAAAATATTGATTAATCCATTCTTAAATATAAGTAATCACCTTGTTAGTTGGGTTAGACCTTGGTATGGGTCATATATTGGTATATCTAAGTCTCTAGAATTTAAAAAAATAACGCCGAATGATTCTTTTGGAGAGAACGTCATGCCATCGTATTACCTGTACGGTATAATCACACAATTCAGAATATCATTAGTGCTTTGAACTTGGTTATGAGGGAAGCTACACACTTGTGGATAATGGTGCTATGCCCTTGCTTATAATCTGAAAAATCGTGTAAGAATTTTACATTGACGAGGTAGAGTAGCTATGAATAACCGATGGCGCAAAGTCATAACAATTTAATAATAGGCTTTACACCTTCATCATGATTTAAGACAATTGTATACCCTCAGAAACAACCTCATAAGTATTTCTCAGTTAACTTAGAATATTCCAATTAAGCTGACATCTTTCCTAAATGACTGGATCTTTTGAATAGAGCCCGTAGTGTGAATAGTTCCGGAAAATTCCTACAGATGTCATGTAGAGGCAATCGCGAAATAATGAAGTTACGATCGATCGAACCCCCGAAGTGAATGTTGAGAAGTAGAAATGGTATAGTACCATTTTTCTAAGCGCACAGGACGTTGTCTTGATTCTGGATGATTTATTTATTAGACACCCAGAGAGCTAACAAAATCAAAATACGCTGGACTTATGTTTGTCTTGTTGAATGTTTATTTTTCATATTTAAGTACATGTCATTAAACAAAATGTCATGTTTTGACTCGTAGCTCATGACTGTGTTTGGTTAGAAGGCAAAACCTGGCCAGGCCATCTTGGCTGAGCATCTTAGCTTTGCCTTACTACGCTTCTCTTGACTTTAGACGAGCCTATGTCAAATTAGAAGAAATAACATTCGTGTGACCGCGTGTCTATTTAATCCTGGACCATAATTACATCAACGAGGCAACACGGTATAAATGCAACAAATTACATTCGATTTAATAGGTAGTAAAACAAAAGGCTTTCTAGTAGTTCATTATTATTTATTGTATACACGTTTAATAAAGATTATAATCACATTGATATCTACGGCTACAACATCCAATAGTAACAATAGAGATAGGAATTAGAAGTGTATACTGTAAATGGAAATATAAGAATACATTTTAAACACACGTAAAATGTCAACATACATCAAACAGACAGACTAACAGACAAACTAGTGTAAGAAAAAATTGATTTGTTTTTAACATCATCTTTCTACCATAGGACAAAATAACAGATCTAAACTTTAAACCAAAGTAATACCCTAAGAATTGTATCATTTGGTTTTTTTCAAATAAATTTAACCAAACTAATTCAACTTCAACCAACCGCTTAGAAATGTCCACGGGTGCGAAGTCGGTTGAAAAAAAATTGTTTTTGGGCCGGACGACGCATAGAACTTGATCAACTAGTTGTTCATACGATAGTGTAAAATACCCTACAAAATTTATATATACTGCAATAACAACTACATAATATCAATTATAAAAATATCTCTTGAAATATATAACACAATTTACAAAGCAGCGACGTGTTTTAAAAAGTATAATCGAAGTATATAGGTTCCTAAAAGATACATAATGTCCCAGCATTCAAAGTCGGTCAATTAATTTATGATCCAACGAACGAAACAAAATGAAAACTACTGCTAAAAATTTGACATACCCAATGTTGATAGTGTTACAAATTTCACATTTATTTTATTTATTTATTTTATTTACACATTTATTCACAACAAGATTATTATTAAATATTCAATTTTATACGTATATAGCAGCTTAGCGTGATATTATGTATATTTGTCTCAAAAGAATACGCGAAATTGTTGAGCTTGCAAAACAACACTTATTTAAATTATCAAGAAATAATTGAAATTAATAAAAAAGTTAAACTCAGAGCGCAATGTAAAATTAATATCTCTCAATTAGAATCGATCAAAGTACTTAGTGTTTCACGTACATAACAGTTACGAGTGAAAACTCTTTGGACAATTAGTAAAAATTCAAAGTCCCACATTTATATAAACTACATAGAAGACCATAAATGCCTTATGGTATTTCTAGGACCATGACACAGAGCGAATCGTGGGGAGGAAGGACATTGAAAACGGGTTTGCCTGCTTCGTTACAGTACTCTGCGTAACGCACTTTGTGCAACACACGTAAACCCAGGCTGCTGCAAATGCGTTGCGAAAAAGCGCCTGTTGCGTCCACTTTGAACAGCTGTAAAGAACAGTTTCATCAGAGAGTAAACATGATCCTAATGATAAAAAATAATATAAAATAGATGTAATTGTTAAATTACATCTATTTTATAAATTTTAGTTTTTGTTTTATTAAACTTATACATATATCATTTATCTTTATTTATTTAGTATTATGCCCTCCGTAGCTTAACGCGTTGCCATGGCGTTCAGAAGGTGTTTGGTTTGAATTGGTACATAAGCCTTATCAACGACTAATACGTAGATTGAATAGTGAAATGGATACAGAAGTGTGTTTCCCGTGATGTTACATTATATAAGAACACACTTTTTTGTTTTACCTTCCTACCTACTTAATTTTGTTTGTTTTGTCTATTGTTGTGAAGATATATATGCCAATAATTGCTGAATATATATTTCGTGTACTCTATGAATATTATTAATGTATGAATAAAATTTAATGCCGGTAGACCGGTAAATAACAAGGACCTAGGGAAAGGGGATTTTAATTTTTTACCTCGTATTGTATTACCTTAAATTGGTGTTCCCTGGCGATTTCGATACTCCGTTTCATAAGTTCCTTGGCGAACCCTCGGCCGCGGGCTTTATCGGACACTGATATGATTCTGCACTCGAGGATGCGTTCCACTTGGTACGTGTTGAATAGATCCAGGTCATGGCTCACCGTGTACAGTATTCTGAAAATCTAAACAAAAACATATAATACATTTTATCCCAAATAAGACAAATTAAAGATCGATTTTAGATTGAAAATTTTTATGACATAGGCGGGGCTTGAACTGGCATCCACAGGTTTTCGTGCTCTAACGAATTGAGCTCCTGTATCACACCCGTCATCGTTGAATTTCTTAGATCTCAACATCTCTTGCGCAATGTAATTTCAACCTTTACTCTTGCTCCTTAGACTTTAATGTTTTGTTCTTTGCTAAAGAAAAGTTAAAAATTTTAATTACCTTATTAAACTTTTCGTCGGTGGATTTCTGTATCTTCTTTATCGATTTCTCAATGTCCCCGGGTCACAAGATCCCATTCAAGGCAACGCCTAACACCTAAAAGACAATATATTTTAACGCGCATGTTGGTCTATTATTAACAATGTACGGCCAATAATAGTCAGGTCTTAGGTCTGATTTCGACCACGTTAGTAACACATTCGTTTTGGATATTATTTGGTGGTGGAATATCGAAATTAAGTACGGGTTACGAACTATCATTCACAAATAAAAAGTCGTCAAGTTTAATCGCGTTTCGGTTTCAGTCTGTGGGTTTCCTTAACCCAAAAAAGGTCGACAGCTCATCTTCTTTACATGTTATATAGCTGAGGTATTTCACCTACAACAAGTAAAGTGCTTGTCTGTTGAGGAGTGGCCAAGTTAGACCCTGTCAGAAGAGTCCCAGCTGTGGTAACAATTTATGGAGTATTTTAAATTGTTTTATAATTCTTACCGTGTCGCCGTCAACCACTGCGATGGATAACCCATCGGTCATAGTCGCAGTGCAAAGCCTCTCCAATGCAGCATGCGGCTGTCCTCGCTCACACAGCCCGACCGCTTTGTTCAACGGCTCGTCAGCGAAGAAGCTATCCCGAAGGTGTTCCAGGACAGCGTTCCCCATTTCGGGAGTTATTCGCGTGAAGACCACCATCCTAGACAAGGAACATACAATTATAGCTGCGTCATAGACTTCGTACGCGTAGAATAGTGATTTTGGGCATCTAAATTTATTTTTACAAACCTCCTGTTCAACTCTATAAACTTAAGCAGTCATTCACGTTAGTCGCGTTCTATCTTGCAAATTAATCTTATAATATAGACTCTTTTGCGATCGTCTAGAGTTTATTCTTTTATACATATTTTTTGGGTATTTCCAACCGTTTTTGTAGCATATGCTTTGGGGTTTCCAAAGAATAACATTTTCCCATTTTTTATACGTTTCTCGATGTTTCTTAGCACCTATTGGTCACAGCGCAGTATTACGTCGTTGACCTATAGCCTACCTTGATAAATGCTTTAACGCAAAAATATTTTTTTAATTCAAACCAGTAATTTATGAGATTAGCGCGTTCAAACAAACAAACTCTTCAGCTTTATATATTAGTATTGATAAAGAAGAATATTGATTTACCAATTTCACTTATCAAACGTCCATTTCACGAGGAATGTTATTACGCGAGAACAACGTCTAATGAACAGATAATTCAGTTTCAAAGCTTTTAAAAACACTCTTGTTCATAAAATATATTTTAAAGGAAGTTGAAAAATGTTCATTAGTTAACAAATATACCAATTTCGTTATTTAAACCGTTAACGATGTGTTACTTAACTTTATAAAATAAAATGATTAAAGATAATACTTATGACTAAGTAGTATATTAAGAAAACATGTAATCTTTAAAGTTTGTTAATTTAACCTAATATGTTATAATTTTAAATTGTTTCGTGCAAAGACAAACAAATATGGGAAATGCGAACTAGTTAGTAATTATATAATAAGCTTATATTATTATTAAATACTTAGAATATAACCACAATGTCTGTGCTTGGTAAAAGGTTCCGAGTCAATCCCAGGGTACTATAAAAATGATTTAAGTCGAGAAAGCAAATATACACGGTACAGAATCATTGCCCCACGCCCCAAATAGAAACGAGATTCACTTACAACCTTACTATACATAATTAAAGATCTCACATAAACACGTCGATAAAGATTTCGCGCAATAAATAAGGGAGAAATTCCATCGTCGGTATTTCAATAGAACGGGACTTAATCGTGAATGATAAGGCAGGGGGGGTTTATGAAGGCCTGGAGCGGGGTCAAGGTGACTCAGGACGGGCCAGAGCCAATATCGGCGAAATCAATAGGATTGACGATCTTTGTTTCGCACGATTTATCTACCATCTGTTGACGATTCGTTCCTCTGTTTAAGTATTTTAGTTAATTTACTTAGCGCTGTCAATAAATAAGTTTAAATCGTATGTAAAACAAAAACTGCTTGGAAAGGCTTATATAAAATACTGTCTATAGTTTACGCGAGTAGTACACATTTAAATAAAACACTTTAACGGTTTAAAACGCGATATATTATAAAATCGTTTCTCAAATAAGTTTAACTAATATATCGTGTTTTAAACCGTTAAAGTGTTTTATTTAAAAGGCTTATATAATTCAAAAAAAAGTATTAATTGAGCTATTGACTCAGTAGCTGAATTGGTAGAGCAGCAGCACGGAACGCTGACGATGCCGGTTCAAGACCTGCTCGAGTCGATTTTTTTTTAATTTATTTTCGATTTTTAAATTATATAGCGCCTTCATGCACCTTCCAATATTAAAGGTTTCCAGGCTTACATACACTAATACATATTATAAAACTAAAGAGTTTGTGTATAAACGCGCTAATCTCAAGAACTACTAGTTCGAATTGAATGTTTTTTGGTTTCTAAAGCATTTATCGAGGAAGGTTTTAGGCTATAAATATATATAACAACACGCTGCCAGCAATAGGAGCAAAGAGTGAGAAATATGAAAATAACAGAGAAATTTAATTATTATCTGTTGCGTACGCTGCAAAAACGGTTCAAAATTTGGATATATTATTGATACTTCGTTAAATGATATAAAAATGTCTGCAACAGTATATGTCTATCTATTAAGATCAATTTATTAAGACGAGGAGGTAGTTAGCAAAAATAACATTTTGATGCTATAATAAATATTTTACGCGGACGTAGTCGCGGGCGCAGCTAGTTATTTATATTTGTCTGTCGGTCTGTTTATCCCAGGTCAAACAAAGCTAAACCTCTATTGTCTTATGTCTGTGGTAAATAACGAGCGAAGAAAGCAATTAATCATGCCCCTAGTTGGCCTTAGGCACGTAATTAATTGAGTTTCAGCTTCAGTTGGTCGAAGGACGCCAAGACAATAAGACTAATGACTAACTCGACGTGCCTACGAGTATAACTGTAGTTCATCCCTTTTGTGCTACGGAATTTTGAAGGATTTTAATCAAATACTGTCTATAGTTTACGCGAGTAAGTAGTACACATTTAAATAAAACACTTTAACGGTTTAAAACGCGATATATTAGTTAAACTTATTTGAAAATGATTTTTCATTTCAAAAATCATTTTCAAATAAGGTTAACTAATATATCGCGTTTTAAACCGTTAAAGTGTATTATTTAAAGGATTTTAATCATCACTAGCTGACCTAACTTACGTTTTTTGCCATATATAATATAATAATCTTGATAGATAGACATATACTATCGCGGTTATTATTTTAGATTGTTTAAAGGAAAATAATTCTTTTATACTCATTAGTCACATTTTTCAGCATCTTGAACCGTTTTTGCAGCGTACGCAACGGTAAATAATTAAGTTTACCTATTATTTCCATATTTCTCACTCTTTGCTCCTATTGCTAGTAGCGTGATGTTGTATATGTTTATAACCTTCCTCGATTAATGTTAACAAAAAAAGTACTCAAATATGAATAATTTCCCCCCTTTGTTCTGTTTCTTTGGGACTATTGGTCGCAGCGTGATGTTTTAAAGCCTTAGATAAATACGATAAATGACACGATTTTTTTTATTCGATCCAGCAGTTCCTGAGATTAGCGCGTTCAAACAAATAAACTCTTCAGCTTTATAATATTAGTATAGATTTACTATCATCATTCAAGACTGCTAGGTTACTTTTTCAAATACAACAGTTGGCAACAAAAATTGGGGGTGCGAACGGCGAGGCGACTATTCGCACGAATTGATCGCTGGTCGCCGCTATACGTGGCTAATATAGAAAATCGAAGTTTTCGTCATTTGCGTCAGTCACTAGGCGTTAAAATAGCGCGATTTTTTCATCAGCAATATTTCATGACGTCTTTCTTAACCACCAATGCACCAAATATCACGATAGTAATCTTTCAAAACAGTTTAACGGTTTAAAACGCCATATATTAGTTAAACTTATATGAAAAAGTTTTTAACTTCGACCCGACGTTTCGGATGCTTTGCCTTTGAGACTCGCCGTGACCCTGCAAAGCACCCGAAACTAATATATCGCGTTTTAAACCGTTAAAGTGTTTTGTAAACAAAACACTTTAAAAATGTGTACTACTTAAAACGTAACCTATAAACAGTATTTGATAGTAATCTTTCCAATATCGATCTATCGAACCTAACTAGACTTAGAACGAAACTAAGTCTATATATGATTGTAACCTAGTTTCCTTAAAATTAATAAAACAAGGAACAGCTCGCCGTCGCACACAGCTACATACAAAGTTTTAATTAAGTTGCAATGCCGTATCGTTCAGAATACCCGGGGCTACGTTTCGATAGAATAGAAAACATTAGCTAGTCCACCTTTCGCATTTCCTTTGTCGAGTGCCTGAAACAGACTTGTAGCTTCATTTAAAACCGCCTTGAGGTAAAGTTCCATTTCATATTATTCTTTCAGGCCTGGGAAAGATATTTTTAAAGAATAACGCTTGTAACGAGAAATGTAACGTAGTTTTAGCGAAACATATAAGTTAGTCGTTTTAAAATGTTTGTACTGAGATTTAAATATCTTATAGTCATAATTATTATGACAAATCCTTTCGCATTAAAACAACCAAACCTTTTCTACATATTGAATTATGTACCGGGCCTAACTGTCTCTAAGATCACCACAATAAAAAAGGAGTTTTAAGGGTTACAACGACAAACGGTAAAAATATGTAAATCAGTTTACTTATAACTTAATATATTAGTTTATTTACGACGAAACTTACAAAGGCGGGCTTTGTCCCATATGACCACGTTTACTGCAAGACGTACGAAACGTCCGCCCATAGTTAAAATAATTTTTGGCGTTCCAAACGTTAACGTTTTAAACCGTCAAAATCGTTGTATTTGAAGTTCAATTATATTGCGGGCACTTAGTTAAACACATCAGTGTTTAGCAGTGGTATATAGCCAGAGGGTACATATTTTATGTGAAATTTAATGAAATGTTTAAATATTTATATCGCATAACGACTATCGTTTTAAGTAAGAACATTTTTTACAAATAAATAAATACATTATTTATAATACATATTTCTTTAGATAAACTGTACAGTTAACAATTAAATATGTTTAAATGGCGATTAATTGGCAAATGGCTTTTAATTAAACACACAAACATGAAAAGGGATTATGTATATGTAACGTAATAGTAAGAGGAATCTGTTACGAAGAGAATCAAATAAAATTCATCCGCAGAGTCTTTTAGTTGTGTAAGAGCCCCTCAGTGGCGCCGTTTCTCAAGCCATTAGTTTGATCTGTTTTCATAAGATCAAATTGCCTCCTCTTCAAATCAGCTGTAATTTGTTACGAGGATCATAAGCCTTGGGATGTCCAAGGATTATCTTCTTAATTTATTTAATTTATTAAACAACTTAAGTATTCCGTTTAGGATACAAACGTGGATTAGTGACGAAAAATTATTATTTTGCCTGTTTGAAATTGCGTCTTTAATCTGCCACTGCAGCACAATATCTTACCCAAGGACTGATACGCAGTTCGGGGAATATGTTATCGGCCGGATGTCTCTAAGCCGGTGATCTAGCTCGTGGTCCCGATGTTAGTCTTAAGCAAGTCATTGACTTATTATTCATTAATAATTTATTTCTTGTTAAAAACCTGTTTGCGCGCTTATTAACAATTTGTTACGTTTTTAGTATTTATGTTCTATGTGTGTATTTTTTACTCTTCGTTTTAATTTTTTTTCTTTACTTGACGCTAACGATCTACATATCGTATGAAAAAAACATGCAATTAATATCATGTTACTCTAATGTGTGAAAGGTACTAAACTCATGGAGATTTTTTTAATTAAATTTTAGTCATGAAACTATTTTTTGTACATTGCTGTTCAGAACGAAGATAAATACGATAAATAATAAAAATAATATAGATATATAAAAAACTATGATTGAAGTTAAGATACGATTAGGAATATGGCCTTATTTCGCAAAGTCAAGCTTTACCATTATCTCCATTCACGTAGGGACTTTTGGAATGGGGAAATTTCAACGATAAAGGGGTACGTAATATTACGATGAATCATATAAATTACTTCCCATTTACCTACCCCTTCTCAATTTCCCCTTCATTTTAAGAAAATTTCAACTGCTATAGGAAGACTGCTCTTTACTTTTATTAATGTATGGTTCCGAAAACTGAAACCATTCACTAAAATTAAACACAAAGCTCATTAATATAGTCCAACAATACGCGCTTCACTTTGTAGAAAAGCTTTAATGTTTGAGAGCGAACAAATAACAGTTGACATGCATTTATATAGATTAAATTACAACTATTATGTTAATGATGTAGATAATTAATAATTAAAAGAAAATAAACATAATTGAAAAACGGTTCTGTAATAATAAAAACAATTCTTTCGTTTGAGAATGAAAAGCTGTTAGAATTAGAAAGAAGAATCTGCACACGTATGTTCAAGCAATTTAAAATATAGTTAGTGCTTATAGTAAGTAGTTGGCCACTTATAGTAAACAGTAAAAGATTAATCATACCTCGTCCGCCCAAGTCGGAGGCAGCTCGCGCACTGTCCCGCCCGCCCTACATTTCGAAGCTTCAGCCTTTAAAGCTCGCCACAGATTATTGACAAACATCGTGTATTTCCTGCTGCAAGGATAGCGAGCTCTGTGAGGCAATTACCACTTTTAAATAAAATATTGTAACGTTTTAAAACGCGATATAGATCAGTTAAACTTGTTTGGAAATTATTTTTACTACAGCCCGACGTTTCGAATGCTTTGCGGCAGCCGCGGTCACTGGTGACTAATAAATATCGCGGTTTAAACAGTTAAAGTGTCTTATTTAAATGTGTACCACTCGCGTAAACTGCGGACAGTATTTAATTGTGACTTTAATAACAATATTTTAAAAATTAGAAAGTATATTTTATCACGGTACGCATCTGTCGTGGGTTCGGAATATAATATTTAAATTCATTTTAGTTCTTAAAACAATTTAAGTACAGATCATATACTTCAAATTATACCACATAATCTTAACAATTACTCTAATAGATTTTTAAGAAACAATAATATTAAAAAATTACGATGGTTTGGTTGTCTATAAGAATAATACGTCCTCAAGATCACTCTAATGGTTACCAATTCTACTTTGTAAGTTGCCATAGTAACCATCGCAGCGAATGTTTTTAATACAGGCTCCGAGTAGCTGTGGCAGAAAAATTGACATATTTATTTCTTATTTTCTAATGTTCTTAACAATATTTCTAGTTTAGTCGTACTCCTTATCGGATAAGGACCAGACAGCCATGTTTACTGAGCTTAGTCTGTTGTCTTATAGCACAAAACTTAAAATTGTATTTTCTTATTTATTTTATATTTAAATAACATAATGTTAACAAGCGGATTGTTTGTTTATTTCATTACTGCATTTAACTGGTCGATCGAATGTTTTTAAAATTTATCTTCTCTTTTTATATATTTATATATTATAACAATACAATGTATTGTAAATATACATATACATAGATTTCCGAAGTACCTATACAAAGTCCATTTATTTCTACAAACGTACTGATGGTACAAAAAGCGGCGTTATTAATAATGTATCTTGATTCTTGTTTCCTATTAAGGTCGCTTTTAGGTATTGGGGCCAAGGTCGGCTAGGATGCTGTATTCGATTGATCTCTATTGGAAATTACTTATAAAGCGATGTTTTCTATTGATGTAAAAAATTGTATGACTGCTATCGGCCACAAATTTGCCTTTCGGCCATTGTATTTTTATACATATTTTCAAACAGACAGGTTAAATATTGTCTATAGTTTACGCGAGTAGTACACATTTAAATAAAATAGTTAAACTTGATCTCCCCGTGACCACTGCTGCTGCAAAACATTCGAAACGTCGGGCCGAAGTTAAAAATCATTTTCAAATAAGTTTAACTAATATATCGCGTTTTAAACCGTTAGTGTTTTATTTGAAAGGTAGGTAGGCTCTTGACGGACTCGTTGGTCTACTGATAGCACTGTATGGCTAATAATAATCAACGTGGAACGTGGACAAATTTAGATTATATTTGTTTCTGATATATGTTAACTTCGTCTAAGAAGATATTAAATGGTTGGTAAATATATCGAAATTCTGTCCCGATCTGGAACCACCGTCCACAGATGAAAAGGCCGTGAAGTTTTCAGTAAAAAATTAATTTTATTTATTTTAACTTTTAGAAAAAACACAGTGTACATAACGTAGTATTTATTTCATTATAAATGTTCCTTAAAAATCATGTAGTCTTGAATTACAGTACATTTCATCCTAAATACAAAAAAAAACTATATTCTTTACAATAGATAAACATCAAGTGTATTTATCACCAAGACCCTAACTAAGAGTTTCATATTTGAGATAAAAAAAAAACAAGAATTATTCGAAATCTAAGCTCATAACACCTAAAATAACCTTTGCAGAATTTATGCATATATAACACCATATGTTTTAATATTTCGAGTATTATAGAGACAAAAGTAATATAGACTCTTTCAAAGAAGCAATATATTACACTATTAATAAAATAGCAATTAAATTTACCAAACAAGGCACTTTTTGATTTCCTATCAGATCGTGAATATTCTTAATCATGCTATCCCTTTCCAACCATACTTGAAAGAGAGGGACAGGAATTATCTCCCTATATTTTGCTAGCCCTTTGGAACATCCCTGCACTAGGAGAGACAGCACTAATTTTCTTTAAACAGTACTAATTTCATACTATTCTCTTCAACATACCAAATCAATAGAGACAACAATACCCTATACATCAAACGGAACAGTATAGCTGTTTCTTTCCAACACCACCGCCCTGAAAGAGACAGCAATACTTTCTTTACATTAGCGTCACTAATTGCTTTAATGTTCATGCTAAACAAAAATAGCACTTCCCTTATCGTTCAACTCTTATCATTTGATATATTAATAGTGATATCGCCCAGATTGTTTTTGTCCAAATGACTGAATGTGATAGTTATCCGTCCGTCCGTCCCCTGCTTAGCCATATCTGGTACCATATTCTCCTCCTGTATATCCTTTGGGATCTCGCTATTATCATAATGAGTGGGATAGTGTAGTTTCAGCTCTCTGTGAAGACGGAATTTCATATGGCACACTGAACACCTGCAAATACAAGCAAAACATTACTGTAATAAGATGATAGTAAAAATAAAACAATTTTAACGGTTTAAAACGCGGCAGTCCCCCGTGACCACGGCTACTGCAAAGCACCCTAAGAGTCGGGCTGTAGTTAACATAAATTGTAAATAGGTTAAATAATATACTTTACTATTTAAACCTTTAAAAGCGTTTTATTTAAATGTGTACTGTTAGCGTAAACTACTTCATTGCAGATTAAATTATTGTAGACAGACAGTAAATTTAAGAAATATCAACAATCGAAAACCCAGGCGTAAACAAACGTAACGACGATATTTAAATAAACGTTTACGTGCATTTTAATATAATTCTAAATATATTTAGATATTTCATTTATTATTTTCATCTTGGATAAAAGATATGTTTGGTAGACACAGATTTAGTACTACAAATCTTGGAATCATAAATCATTTGGTCGGGCAAGGCACAAAAGTCAATTAAATAAACACTTTAACGGTTTAAAACGCGATATATTATCAGATTATCCAGAGTTTTTAAAATGGGGTCCCAATAAACAGGATACCGGCATACGCGAAGACACCGTTAGTAAATTCTGTAAGGACCCGGCCAGTTTCGCCAAATACCAACTTCGAAGGAACAGATGGCTCTAGAGTAGCATTTTTTTTTTACTTTGACGTCAGAGACATCCTCCATCTTTAGTCTCCCCGTGACCACGGCTGCTGCAAAGCATCCGAAACGTCAGGCTGAAGTTAAAAATCATTTTCAAATAAGTTTAACTAATATATCGCGTTTTAAACCGTTAAAGTGTTTTTTTTAATGTGTACTACTCGCGTAAACTATAGACAGTATTTAAAAGTCACTTATATTTGCCTGTAAATAAAATTAATACGTAAAACGGACATTAAAATGCCCACAAGGGTAAACTGGTTAAATTGCCAGAAGTAAAATCTAGTAAATAAAATATCAACATACTGGTATATATTCTGTCCGACGTGGACCCTGGTGTGCTTCACCAGGTCGTTACTCTGGGTGAAGGCTCTCTCGCAGTAAGTGCACTTATACGGCTTCTCCCCGGTGTGTATCCTCTGGTGGCGTTTAAGGTGGTCTTTGCATGTGAAACTGGGAAAGACCAGGGGAATTACAAACCTGTTATGTATACCAACAGGTGTATATGTAGTGTAGGATAGAACTTATTGTTATAACTAGGGTCAATAATTGGGTTACTTCAACAAAGGTTGGAACGGGCACTGAAATAGCCAGCAGTGAATAGATACTGATAACCTGGTCTTCTATAAAGGTCCCCAATAGAAAATAATAATAACTATAATCACAGGTGTGCGGATTATTTACTTAAATTCTTGATTAAAATACAGGCAAAGATATATTTGTTAAGTAAACAAAAATTGAAGTAAATTGCCTAATAGGGGCCTCTAATACTAACAGGACGTCGGGGCGAGCGCGCTGGCACTCGCCGTGTTTGCGGCTAGACCAAAGGTGCCCCGAGGGAGGCGTCGACCTCGGCTTGGACCGCCGCAATGCGGGTGGAAGATAGAAGAGCTGGAAGCTCACCCGGGTGAGACTCGACAAGCATTAGGTTTACTTGATAGAAGGTCAAGCTGTCAGCCCTTTATGGCTTTGGATATTCGGAATTCGACATAAAAAAAAATTATAAATTGATTTTCATGTATGACCTGGAATAAAACCCCCCGGCGATAAAACCCACGAACCGTCGATACCCATATATTGCTTATGGACTATTGGGCCCATTATTTGTTTAATTATACTTATTTATTAATACTTTTGCACTCACCTCATATTACACGTATCGCAAACAAAAGGCCTAATCCCGAGATGGATGAACTTGTGCTTCTTCAGCGAATTGGGTTTGGTGAACGAGGAACCGCACTCGTTGCACTTGTACGGGTGGGCTCCCGTGTGGGTCACCATGTGGCTGGTCATTTGACCTGGAATGAAAAATAAAGAAGATAATCTATACTCATATATAAAGCTGAGGAGTTTGTTTGTTTGAACGCGCTATTCTCAGGAACTAGGGGTTCGAATAGAAAAAATATTTTTGTGATGGTTAGGGCGTTTGTCAAGGAAGGTTATAAGCTATAAAATATCGCTACGGAGCTAAGAAAGGACGAGAAATGTGGAAAACGGGGAAAATTATTTATCCTTTTAGGTTTCGGTTTAAGATGCCCCAAAAATATGAGAAAATGAATGATGATTTTATAAAAAAAATTAATAATGTAAAAAAATGTCTGGGACACCATATATCTATTTTTTAAGATCAATTTGCAAGAACGACGGGACGCGACGGCCAGCGTGATTGACAGTTGTAAGGGAGGTTTGTAAAAACAAATTTGCATGCCCAGCTAGTGACATACAAGTAGGACAGAAAGTTTTCTCATTGTCAATAAAAAATTAAAATTGTATCCTATTTTCGATAATATAATTGTTCTCTACTATATATTATATTGTATAATCACCATGTGGATGTGTTAATACACCACAAGAGGCTAGCGAACACGACACTTCCTAGTGTACGTGAATCGACACAAATGTAAATAAGGTTTTAGGACACTAAACAATTTGTGTTTGTATATCTTATCACGTTGTCTAGACACAGGGACACATACGAGTCTACAGTAATAGACATTTCTATTGATTAGACCCGGGCCTCACAGAGTACGTTAAGCCGTCGGTTCCGTTTATCACCAGTAATTTAGTGGGCGCAATAACAACGTTATCTCACCAAAACTCTATACATCAATCACACATTAAACACCAATCCATATACTACTAATATATCTCTGACGTTACGAAATCACATTAATAAGTATTTTGTAGTACCTTTTGTAATGAAGGTCTTCGGACAAAGTTTGCAAGCAAACTGCTTAATACCAGTATGCCTCAAGAGATGCTGCCGGAGATTCGAACTATTGCTGAAACCCTTTCCACATTCGGAGCAAAGAAATGGTGTTTCTCCTGTGTGGGTCCTTATATGGTCCTTTAGAGTACCAAGCTGAGAGAAAGCTGAAAGGAAATTTATTTAGTTAACTTGGTGTATTAAAATGTGAAGTTTAAAAAAAAGATTGGAAGTCCATCCAACTCGGGACAGATTACTTTAACAACGGACTTTTAGTAGATACATATGGGTGGCATGGGGCAAACACTTTTGAGTGTCTCTTTTGGTTTCACTTACATGACATGGTGAGCATATCAAGCTTTATTGCCCTGCCCGACCGAAACAAGATATTATTTCCCCAGGATTCAAGCCTAGAAACTCACATACTTACCCGAAATGCTAGGTAACAAGTTTAACTTTTTCATACTTACATTACAATTTGTCTAAAACTATTCTTAGATTAAACAAGGAACAAAATAATTTAAAAATCGAAAATAAATTGAAAAAATTTTCGACTCCGGCAGGACTTGAACCGGCATCGTCAGCGTTCCGTGCTGTTGCTCTACCAATTGAGCCACCGAGGACTCGTTATTAGTAATAAAGTTTTCAAAGGAACAAAATAGAAACAGAGTTTAAGTACTTAGTGACTTGCCAATGCCAAAGAGACAATTACAAACTAGTTTATGTGTCCATGTTTTAGTATAAAACTTAAGGCTAGATATAGTAACAGATCTTTACTTATTGATATAGGTTACTTTTATCCTAGATAAACATTTCTTTTCTAAATAAAATCAGACAACAGACGGACATCAGACAATAAAATCTAAAACAAAAAATTTCTAACACACCTTTCGAGCAGTGTGGGCAAACGTACGGCTTAATATTATTGTGCTTGTTCATATGGTCCAGTAACTGATCGTTCCTTGTAAACCTCTTCTTACATTGATTGCATTTGTATGGCTTGTTTCCACTGTGTAGCCTGAAATTTTTTAAATCCTTCTAACTTTTTTTTGTCATCATAATAGAGAAACAGGGAAATAACTTTAAAACATTCCATTAGACAACTCCCATCCCATCCCATGTATTTTATTCCACATAACATAAAAGGTTTCTGAATTTGAACAGGGAAATAGATAGACTACGACCAAGTGTCTATCTATTCAACTATCTATCTAGCCAACATGGAAAACTGGATATATAAGATATATGAATAGACAATGGCTTGTCATCTACTGGTAGCAATCTAAGGCTATATAATAAACTAATAAACAGCTGGGTTCGATCCCCACTAGGTCCACATGTCTCTAATCAAAATTATTCTGAAATATGTTGGATGATTGTTCTGGTTCGTGGGGAGATGTGTATATTGAATTGGTGGTAGGAATATTGAAATTCTGACCATGTTACCAATGTCCACAGAAGAAGGTACGTCAAGTACGATAAAAGTCGTAAAGTGTAATTGTTTCAGTTTCAGTCTGTGGATTGTCAATTATCTGAAGCCATGTGTAGATGTTTAAATAAAACATTTCAACGGTTTAAAACGCGATATATTAGTTAAACTTATTTGAAAATGATTTTTAACTTTGGCCCCACGTTTCGAATGCTTTGCAGCAGCCGTGATCACGGGGAGACTGAATTATTTTCAAATAAGTTTAACTAATATATCGCGTTTTAAACCGTTAAAGTGTTTTATCTAAATGTGTACTACTCGCGTAAACTATAGACAGTACTGTGTAGATGCTTTATGTCTCGAGAATTTCACCTTCAAGTGAACATCACATTTGTCTGGCCTCCACTATTATAAAAACATACCTCATATGCCGTCTTAACAATGTCTTCAATGAGAATTTCTTATTACAGTGATCACACTCATATTGCTTTACAGCTCCGTGTTTCCGTAAATGTGCTGATAGGGCTCTTGCTTTTGTATAAGACGCTGGACATTCTGGACATTTGAAATCAAGTTCTTCTAACTTTACATTGTTTTGAAGTAGCAAACAATCATCTTCATTACAGGTCCACATATGTTCATCTAAAGATGGTTTATTGGGGAAACCTGTTACAAAAAAAATATATTACAAAGCTATAATATATTTTGTTTAAAAGTATCGAACTTAGCAGTTTAATAAAAATATGAGCTTTATTTCGAGATACACCTTTCACTCTATATGTACACATATAAGCATTGATAGAATATTCTGCGATCTACATGTATCACAGACTTAAAGGTATGTACTGTACACTAGATAAGTTACTTTATAGTTTGATCATTTTAAAATTGATTATTGTGAAATCCTGTTTCCCCTCGTGGGGTATGGGGCAAACACATTTCTGTGTCCTTTTCACTGATCACTTTTTTAATTAGGGGCAAGTAGTAGATCAGACTTCTGTGCCCTGCCCAACTGAAACAATTTACTGTTTCCCTGGGATTGAAACCCAGGACCTTTCGCCTCTCGCGCTTTAAAATATTAACAAATTATATTCATGCCATTTTAAGAAGCATAGAATAATCTCTACTTTTATACAGCTAGCCAGTGTTGTTTGCAAGGGAGAAGATCTAATAAATTAATCAAACCTTTATTGCATTTTGTGCAAGTAAAATTGTAGTGTGATGCTAAGTGTTTCAACAATCTCTTCTGCGTTTTATATTGCTTCTGACAAATTGTACACTCATGTGATTCGGAATGTTGTTTGTTCTCATCGCGATAGTAAAAATCATCAAAGTAATCTGTCTCATCTTTCATTTCAACATCAAATTCTTCATTTTTGATTTGAGGATTTTCAAGGAGCTTCTTTAACTCTGTCTCAGACTCCAATGCTTGGGCTCGAAATGTAAATACCAATTGCAAAGTGTTTGCACAAGTATCACACAGTTTTTGTGGTAGTCCATCGCCTGATGAGACCTTTAATTGTTAAAAATTATGTGTTGACTACATAAACCTTTTATATATATCTTGTACTAAATACTTTCCTATATTTTATTGGCTAATATTTCCAAGATAAACCATTTTTAGCCAAACCTCTAGCAACAAAGCCCTGTATTATTTTCACAAAAAATTTAATAATAAAATTGTAATTAGGTGAGTTGGGTAAATAGGATTTATTTAGGTATGACTTTTAGTGCCCTAAGATTTATCCAACTTGCCATTTCATTAAATCCTTAAGTAAATAATTACGTAATAGTAATTACTTAATATTTTATAATATTTAACCTAATATAAATACTGCATTCTAGTACAATAAGCTGTTTGAGTATGTAGAAAGATAGATCCCTGACAGGAAACTTATAAGTAGGAAATAAAATCTTACTTGTAATGATGTAGTGGTCATCAGAACGTCTGCCAACTTCATTAAACAATTCCCTTCTATCTTGAGGGGTCCAAACAAATCTACCATGTTATTTACACAATCCTTCATACAAGTTCGGCAAACTGAACTTATGTCGACCATTGTCCTATGTAGAAATGTTACGAGCTTTATCAAAATCCATGTGATTTTTATCCTCCTTAGAACAAGAGTAATATAATAGTTGGTAATAATTGTTGTTTTGCTTAGTAACTTCCGTTCCGACAAAACAAGCAAAATGTTTTTATACTTTACATTATTAGCGGTTTGATACAACAAAACACGAACACAACATTCACTTGATAAAGGCGAGTATCAATAACTTATTTTTTCTTTATTGGTTTGGTCATAATTTAATTACTTTATTAAGTTAATTTTCATTTTGAGAAAGAAGAAAAAAACTTAAGTTAGAATGCAGACCTATAAATGTTATATCAATAAAGCTTTGAGTCTGTGACTTTGAGAGTTGAAACCAAATTTATTCTATTGTTCGGTAAAACTTAGACCACCTATCATCACAGACTATTCACACTGTTGTTGACAGTGACAGATGAAAACTGTAGATTGACAATTATGGTATATTGTATAATTACATCTATTTTTAAACTTCAATGTAACAAATAAGCTGTAGGTCTTATAAATTACAACAAAGACCAGTTGAACAACAATGGAAGATATAATTTTTATTGGAGACTGGATAAAAGACCGAGTGTTAGGGTCCGGCAGTTTCGGTATCGTCGTTTTGTGGAAGCACAAAACTAGTGAAGAAAAACTAGCTATCAAGACTTGCAAATGGGGTGATGAACTAACTGCTAAACATAGAGAAAGATGGACTAAAGAAGTGGAAATGCTGCAGACCTGCAGTCATCCAAATATTGTGGGTACAAAGACTTTACCTAAAGAGTTTATCGCTGGCCTTGTGCCTGTTAATCCATCGAAATTGCCTATATTATGCATGGAATATTGCGGTGGCGGCGATTTGCGTCAATTGTTAAACAAACCCGATGCGTCATGCGGCTTAAAAGAAGTTAAGGTCCGAAAAATCCTTAGTGACATTGGCAGTGCAATGCAATTCCTCCACAGCAACAAGATAACCCATCGTGACCTTAAACCAGAAAACATAGTTTTGTATCAACCAAATGGAACAAAGGAGGCTGAAGAAAACATTGTTTATAAGATAATTGATCTGGGCTATGCTAAGGAAATTGATTCAAATTCAATATGTGCCAGCTTTGTTGGAACGCTGCAGTATTTGGCACCAGAGATTTTTTATAGTAAAACATACAGTAATTCTGTAGACTTCTGGTCATTAGGTTTAATTGCTTTTGAGATCATCTGTGGGACACGTCCATTTCTTCCTCTGAAAGCACCCGTGGAATGGATGCCACATGTTAAGAAAAAGCAACATGACAACATTTGCGTTTTTGAGACATTTCATGGTGATATTGAGTATTCTAATGAGATATTTGCAGAAAATCACATATCAAAACCTTTTAAGGCTTTAATAGAGGATTGGCTCAAGGTTGCTCTAGAGTGGGACCCAAAATTAAGAGGAAGGGATGCACCATCCAAAGTCACATTCAACATACCTTGTGACAACAATGAAACAGGAATGGCAAGTAAGGTTATTATATTTGACCTATTACAGAACATTTTAAGAAGGAAAATCATTAAAATCTTCTGCTTATCTACAATATCAAAATTAGCATTTGAAATTGATTCAGGAACCACTATTGGTATGCTAAAAGAATTTATTGTCAAAGAAACATGTATAGCAGTTGAGGATCAAATGCTAATATCGCAAGTTAACTTTATAGATATTCTTAACGATGAGCAGGTTATAAAGTATTGGAATGAAAACAGTGCTATTATGCTATTTTTGTATAATAGAAAACATATGATACAAGAAAATACTTCACCAACTGTTCCCATAGCAATTCAAAGATGCCTTGAACATCCAAAAGCTTTATACAATTATAGAAACAGCCAAACACTGTATCGCAATGCAATTTACTTTGTAAATACCCAAATGGAGAACTATGATTTGATTATAAATGCAATGTTTATAAGGGCAGAGTCTTTGAAACAAGAAAGTAAACATCTTCTTTTGAAACATAATAATATTGACAAAACTATTGGAAAGCTGTATGCTAAAGTTGAAATTATTAAATCAATGATTGAAATGGGCGAGAAACATATCACAGGTCTCAAAGAGAGTAACACTGGTACAAATATTTTAGGGGGCTTTGAACAGTCATTTAAAGCTGGCCATGAATTAGCAGATAAAGTTGAGAAGTTAAGTACGGCCTGGGCACAATTATCAGTCCGCCTCCAATCAGCTGCCAGGCGCAGTAATGAAGGGATTTCAAATGATCTCAATAATTTTGTAGGTAGAAATAATTACCAAGCAATATTTACAAATGCCTATAAAACATTTTTATCTCATAAGAAGAGTGATTTTTATAATTCCAACCGAGAAAAAGAAAAACAATGTTCTGAAATTGTAAGAGTATGCTATGATTGTTTGAAATTGAGAAGTAAAATTCTTCAGGAATTACAGAATCACCAATTTCTATTGAAACTCAAAGATTTATCTGTAGAATTTGGAAAGATTGCAGACATTATTACCAAAGCTAATGAGAATATTGATAAGTTGAGTAAGTTTTTAGTTGAGTTTACAGAAGAATTTACAAATTGCATTTGGTCTACAATAACTGTTGTGGTTCGAGATGCAGAGAATATTTCAGATCTTCCATATAGTGTTGTTTCATACCAAAAAAGGGACTTTAAAGTTGGTGAGCCAGTGAATAATCAGTTACAAACATTGCTTGTTAATGATAATGAGATCAAGTCTGTAGTGGAGGAGAGTTTGATGTTAAGACAGAATCAAATGATGCTATGTAAAAAGTTAAATACTCAAAAGAATGTATTACACAATTCAATATTTGACTTTAGTTTCTTGAATGAGAATTAACACATTTGTAGGGTTTTGCAATAGCGATAAGATAAACGTGAAATTTTTAATTTAATTAAAATCAATGAATGCATATATCATCATTATGTCTAGTATCAATTTGTGCAATATAAAATAAAAATTGTAATCTTTGCCAGAAATTAGTGACCAGTTCATTATATTTGTTCAATTGTTTTGTACACTTGGAATCTTTCAGAGTGATATTTTTACATCACTTTGTTATTATTAAAGGTTATAATTGTTATAATATTAATAAACATTATAGTGGTGTGTAATTTTTATTAAAAAATTGTGAGCTTTAACAAAGGTGCTATTTCTGAATCTTAATTATATTGTAATTTAATGTTTTTCTAGTCGTCTCACAAAATTGGTTGATATTTTTTCCTAATACATGTTAAAGAATGTATGAAAGCGTTTTATTTATACACTATTTATTTATGTCTGTAAAATGGCTGTGCCAGTAAACTGTTCTAGCCAAGGTACAAATAGATCTATGATTTTTTGTGTTTTTTTTACGTCAACCATTTGTAGATATTCGTCTGGCGCGAATCTTGGTTCCGGTAATCCAGCGGCATGCAGCCATATGGAAAAGATGGCGTCCTCAATACTTGTCGTAATCCGTCGACAGAGTCTCGCTGATGTCATGCAAATAGCCACCAACGCTCCCATGCCCGCCACAGAGATGGCGTTCGGCCTCTCCTTGCGCGCAGCGAGGAAATAATTCCTCAAAAGATTCTCAGCATCATCACTAATAGTTACAGACAATCCGGCCACTATATCTATATACTCAGCCAAATCTCTTAGAGCCTTAACTTCTTCGTCAGTGGCCTGTGGTGGTTCTATAGCTTGTTGCAGAACGAAGTCTGCTAACTCGTCCGTTTCCTCTCCAATATCACCACGAGACAGTACTCCCAAAATACTACTTATGTTACCCAGGTTGTCTTTCTTAAATTCTGTTCCTTGTGCCCATACAGCGCATTTCAAGTCGCTTTTACCCGAGTCTTGTACTACCTCCCAGGTTTCTATAGCTGTAAGGAGAGAATTTATCTGTTTCGGGCTATATACGTGAAGAGGCAAAGGCAATAGACACACGCCACTTGACGAAGCAGTAAGAGCCGTTTCCACTGACGAATTAGCGACTCCTAATGCCACATGGCGATCGGCTAACAATGCTCCCTCGCTCATTAGTTTACCGATATATCCGGTGTCAGAACCCACACTAAAATAATGTACTATGGTAGAACCATCATAAGCGTGAGCCTTTACGCTAGTCAAACTCAAGAGGAGATTCATTTTGACGTTAATAAAACAATTTAAGGGGCAAATATTAACTCCTATACTAGATGCGAGGCAATAAATAAATTTCCAAGGTACACCGCCGCAGCTATTATAAAGATCACGAATGTCCTTTGGCGAGCAATATGTAACAGGCGCTGGAAAATTTACGACCTCCTCTATAGACCAAACTGCGACTGTTTTCTTCAAAGCTATGGTATGGATGAGGTATACAGAGCCCAATTTTAACAATGGAATTAAATCGTCAGTTACAACAAACTTCTTACTCAAAAGTTCACTCTTCAATTTAAAAGTAGCGGTAACTTGTTCTCCACACTGCCTCAAACCGCTGTTCTCGAACATCACGCTCTTACAAATTTGACATTTCGGAGGCGATTTCGGTATGTAGTGTAGTATTACTTCGTTACCTTCGCATTCTTCCGGGCAAGACCAAACTGTATGAAACACATTGCTTGTAAGTTTTGAAACCGTTAAGAGTAATCCGTTAAATGTTACTATATTCTCGTAACGATGTGTTGACGGTCGAGATAAAATACGCGGCAAACTTTTGAGTCTTATTGTAACAGCGACTTGAGATGGTTGAATGAATTCCTTCAAATGGTTGTCAGATGATTTGAGGCACGCGTAAAAGATGTCATTACAAATAATGCTAAATTTTAACGGTTCACTTAACAAAAAATCACCCAGGCCACTGGAGAAATTAAACAAATCCATAACATCGAATTTTATCAAATAGCGTAAGGGAGGGAACTTGTATACCAGTGTATCGTTTAATTGGCTTAAAAATTCGCTAACAGTCTCCTGCATACCGATTAAAATATGTCTCTTATCAAAGTATAACATTAAATCAAAATATTTTATGTTCATTTTTAAGCGTTGTTCCCGCCAAATAGTTTTTATTTTTCAATCTCAAATCACAGATAATACAATTAGATTACAGGAGAATTTGTTTACAGATAATACAAGTAGATATTTCTTTATATGAACACATAGTTACCTACCTAAAATGATTTTTGACTTTGACATTGAATTTAATGATTATTCTATTGCCATATTACTATAACTCTATAATTAAGCTCCAGAAGTTAAAAAGTCGGTCCTGAGGTTTAATTATATTTTCATAATATAATAAAACATAAGGCTAAAAACAATAACTAAACGAATATAATTTTAAAATCGAAAATGAATTCAAAAATGTTCGACTCGGGCAGGACTTGAACGGGCATCGTCAGGGTTCCTCTTGCTGTTACCCTTGCGCACGGACCGCTGACGATGCCGGTTCAAGTCCTGCCCGAGTAAACATTTTTGAATTCATTTTCGATTTTTAAATTATATAGTGCATTCATGTGCAATAACATGTAAAAAATAATAAGTTTTTAAACGAATATATTTATGATGTTGGAATCGTTGGTTTTTTAACTACTTATTGTCTATTATGATAGATATTGAAACAGATAACCGTTTCATAGGCGATATGTCAAGGAAAAATGTATAACATTTTATGTCCTTCTTTCTAATATACTGTATATTCTATGTAAAATGTGATGCTCTTGAGAGACCATAGATAAGGATAAATGTAATTGAATGTATTCCTTATTCTAAGTAGATCTGGATTATGGCTTTTTGGACGATGCGCCCACGTTGGTTAATCACGGTAGGCATTAGTCTATGCCGAGTCTACCTACGCGTTATTAGGTAATAAGTCCTCGCCGAAGGTCAGCGTACAAGAAACGGCTCGACAACTTCACAACGGAAATGCTAGATCCAAAATGCAAATGATCAGTAATAATATCACTGCTTTGTTCATTCATTGAAACGGGGTACAGTCGCGTACATATATTAAGTATTAACATTTATAAATGGTTCTCTTTTGATTGCAGTATTAAAAGCGGACTTGGTTTTAACCCGTGTGCTTTAAAGTATAATTTGTGATGATAAATTAAACAAGTGATTTAGTCGCCCGTTAGACAAAGACTCCATCTTCGTCAAAAGGGCTAATCATTGATAAAGATTAGCAAACGATAAGGTTATCCAAACGTTTCGAAACGTTTTACAAGGACGCGCGTATGTCAATCTCTAGCCTATGGCGAGATAAAGTTTTATCTCAGGATTTTTATTATATAATATAATTTTTATAAGGTATTTGAATAGTTTATTTTCCCAACTCGCTGGTCGATTTAACATATTGTCACTTAATTTCTTTTCAGATTTACTTGAACTTCGCGCCCATGACTGGCTTTGAGGCCAAGTATAGAGTTTTTAATGGCAGATAAACATCTTCAGCTATTTACATCATCCAATTAGCTTGCTTCGCCCTATTTTTATATCGGGCGATTAAATGCCATGTGTACAAACAGAGACACAATAGATAATTCAGAAAAATATCTCTTACTTACTTTTATAAGTAATAAAGTTAAAATTTTTTAAGTAAAACGAACCTATAACCCACCTAAGTTCATAAAATGTTTGTGGCAGCAGCAGTCAAACCATCACCAATTTCTAACCAATCGAAAAATTCTAATAAGCACAAAAGATTTATGAATTAAAATACAAACTACTCTCAAGTTGAGAATTAAGAAATAAGTATACATTTTCGATATCACTGTACGTGAACGGATTAAGCCGTGTGGGTGGAGTGAGGTTGGGACAATCGTATTTTTCAGCGGATTCCGTTCGCTCTGCGCACGCGCACTCGATGCCCGATCACGACAAGTATCAGTTGCGTCCGCGCGCGACGCGCTCACGGGAGCCGCGTGCGCGCCGCGCGCCACAGCCCCTCAGCAAATATCGACGGAAAACCGCAAACGCAAGAGAAAGAAGCCGAATGCGTGAAATTAATCGCGCCTTCGAAACCCTCCGGCGCGCTGTACCGGCTGCGGAGATTACGGGGAATCCGGTGCCTTGCGAGAAGCTGACGAAGATCACGACTCTGCGGCTAGCGATGCGGTATATCACAGCTTTATCCTCTGCCCTGAGAGATACCAGCCCCGAGCGAGAGGGCGCGCAGCCCGAACGCTGGTCGTCGCCTTTTGGTTCAGACCTGTCAGAACTTTCCACGGAACAGGAGAACACTTCAGAATTCACGGAGGATTCCCTCTCGCCGTTCGACTCGTTCTTCGCCGAGTTCGACTACGAATACAGTTTAGACAGAACGTTTACGTGATGTGTGCTGTGGACTATATTAGTTGTAATTCTCATTTTTGCCATATTAATTCTATGCATAGTTTATCAAGTGAGGTGACGAGATCTTTATTTATTTGTTTAATTAATAAAATTGTTTTGTTACCCTCTTTTTCATTCAATATCCAATAAGTTTTGAATTCAAATTAATTATTTGTTTAAAATTCCAATTAAAGAAAGAATCTCTTATATATACGGTAGAACAGTGTTGTACTGAAGCGTATTTAATATACAAAAAAATATATTTCTAATCTATTAAAATATCTTTATACTACTTCAGATAGTAAGAGCCAAGGAAGGCATAGACAAGACAGTTAAATATGATAAACGCAAGTAGCTTAAGCCTCGCGCATATTATTGACAATCGACAAAATAGAGCTTTTTCCAAATATCTATGAAATAAATGAGCTTACCTTGCAGGGTCAACATCCTTGTTTAATCTTTATTAACATTGTTAAGCTGAAGTTCGTTTGTTTAAATGCGCTAATCTCAGGAACTATTGGTTCTAATTGAAGGATTATTTTATGTCATCACGCTGCGACAAATAGAAGTGAAGAAATCGTGGAAAATGTGAAAAAAATTGAGAAAAATATTTATCTTAGAGGGCTTCCGTTGCGGGAGCTGGAAAAACGCTTCTAAAAAAACAAAAAAATAAATCGTCATTATATGACGGTATATCTTTTAAAATATTTAAATCGCGAACCGCATTTATGACAGTTAAATTTGGTCGAGTTTAATGCACTATTGCAAATTAATTGGTAAAGTTGTATCAACGTAACAAACAAACAACAAAACAACGTTTTTCGAATTATCTAGTTGCAGAAATACAATGAATATACAATAACATAGTGACTAAGTGAATGATAAATAACCTAAAATTAAATTTTCCGCGAAATGTGTGACCTAAAACAGTCAAGGCGAAAAACTAAGCATTGTATGAATCATGTTTTATTAATATTTGTGCGTAAGGAATATAATTATGCCTCTAAGTTGTATATCGAGTTGGTTCTACATAAAGACTGACTTCTTACGAGTTTTGTTTTGTTGCTCTAGTCGCAACAGTAGGTCATGTTCATTTTATTAAAACTAACTGCGACGCGCTGAGTTGCCCAAGTTTTATAAGGTAGGATGAATACTCAAGAAAACTAAACCACACTTATTAGTCATTATGTTCATTTAATAGATTTAGTTATACAGAAAGCCACCTCTAAATATAGATATAGGCTTTTAAAAGGCGCTTTTATCTTACAAAATTTTATTTGACATTGCCAAGTTAACAAATAAATAATACTTATACTTATTTAGTAATGTTAATTTTTAACTTAAAATTGGTGTCTATGTGTTTCGAATATACAAACCGCCACAACGGTTTAATTTGTATATGGATTTTTAATATTGCTGTATTGTTTAATATTGATTTTTGTGTACAAAATAAATTGTAAAAAAAAATAATATTGCATATTAGTTAGTCTAGACAGAAGTCTAGGCTATCATTTACAATTGACTTAAAGTGGTGCTTCTAGTTTTAATTTAATAAGTTTTATATTAAACCTAAACTTTTTCAGATCACCCACTTATGTGAAAAAGTTTAGGTACATGGACACTTGGACATGAGCGTCTTCAAAAAACATTTAGATTCTCTTACTGTACTCTGTGTACTGCCTCAATAGGGAAGTTCCAATGAACTATTTCTTAACTTGATGATGCGAATCTCCGACGCGTGGGCCATACTATTACATGGTCCCACCTCCGAGCTACGTTACGGAAGATAGAACCTTGTCGCAATAATCAATCAAGTACAATAACCAAGGAGTTACCCACGCGCGACATTGTTCTAATCTTGTGTAGAAGTAACTATATTTTGATTGTCGAATCTATTATATTTATTCCGATATCCGCTTATTTATATAACATAATATAAAAGTAGCTCTATTTTAAGTATGTTATTCTAATCAATCTCGATAGTATAAATTAAGTGAAGACAATTATTATACAGCTGCAACAAAATACAAACCTGTAAAAATTTAAACTTTGTAGCTATCGCCGTTGTTGTGTTGTTGAGCAGAAGGTGTTGACCCTTTGCGTCCGGAATCCTAAAAAAAAACTCATACAAAACACGGCAACCTGAAATATGTTTTTCTTTGTTTTTTATTTTCCAAAATACATTCTTAAAATTAAACATAAATATATTATGGCGATAGCTACCTTAAAATAGTTTATAATACCTAACCTACCGTATAATACAATTACATATATGCCACCTGACAAACCTACAATACAAGTATTTAATATCTAAGCGCGCTAATCTCAGGAACTACTAGTTCGAATTGAAAAATTATTTTTGGGTTTGCTAGAAGATTTATCTAGGAAGGTCCAGTGCGACCAAGAAAACGTAGGAAACGTGAAAAAAAAAACGGGGAAAATATTTATCTTTATATTATATTTTAAAAAGATGATGAGGCGGTTTGCAAAAACAAATTTTGTTACCCAAAATTACTATTCTACAGGAACGAAGTCGGCTGACACAGGTAGTATACTATAACTTTAGTTTTAAAGTGTGATAAAATCAGGAAGGCAAAGTGAGTTCGTATTTTAATACGAAATATTGCATTTAACATATCATCGAGAATATTATTTAAATTTGTAAAATGCTTATGCAACGGCCATCTCATGCAATAAAGATCGTAAGCGCATGCGTATGTATGCCCCTTTTGGCTTAAGCGGATTGCTTTCCCGCCAAATACGGCCGCCATGACAGTCCATTGAATTATGTGATTAAATGACATGACAGATGAGAAATGACAGCGAGATTTTTTAATTTTGATTTTTGGCCGTGGACAGTTATGCATAAGCCTTTGGTATAAATAGAACGCTGATTACAAGTGTTACCACAGCGGGTGTTAACCGTGCCATAAACGGCGTCTTTAGACAACTTGTAGAGCCTTATTGATAGGTTTGCGAAAGCGACATTTTTTGTACTTGAAGGTGACAATTTCAGGTTTTAATGAATCTCTATAAACATAAATTAACTTTATTTACTTGTTTTCGAACAATTAGCGGAGATAAACTTATGAACGTATATTAGCCCTTACTAGGACCATTTAAATGAAAGAATTAATCATCTACGTCAGGATTCGAACGCATTTAACGTGCACCGAAACGATATATGCACAACTGACCCCCGATCTATCGGTGGGTTTAAAGAACCATTAAAGTTTAAAATGCACGAGCCCGTGGGATTAATCCGTAGAATAGCCCTCCAAAAGCTATAAAAACATATTAAAACGAGCGTGAATTATTATATTAAATGTGCAATTCAGAAGGCATTCAATTGACGTGGGCGAACCGCCTCAGCGAGAAAAATATCTCCGAAATCAAGTCGATCTTAACTGGCTAACAACTTTGCCGTTCCTGTTTCATCAAAAGTGAATGCAAATTGGTGTTTTTGCTCTGACCCATCTGCAGAGATTGAATTTCTATATAGTCCTCTTGTATATATATATACCTATATTTTATAAATAATAATGCTTTCTGCTTATTGGCATCAAACATTAGGATTGCTACAAATTCTCAATCAATAATTAAATAACTCTATTAAATTTATTAACTCGCATTATTTATATATTTTGGGTTTATTTCAAATTTTAAAGACCGCATCATTCTAGCAACAGTCGTGCAATAAAACACGATGCAGATAAAAAACCAATCAAATATATGCATTATAATATTATTACAGCTCGGAGCCTTACCGCCCACAGACTTCTGAACCTAACGCAACCTTTCAACAAAGAAAGCTCACGCCCACAGAATAAAAACTGACAAGCCTTTGAGCTTTACTTAATCAATAACGTCGTTAAGAAATTACGTGGCTTTGAAATAATGGTGTCAAAAGACAAAAAACGCTGCTTTTTCTTTAATAATAATATTATACAAAACACTTGTTTGTTTAAGTAGCAAAAAGGATTAGTTAGCATATCATTGTCTTTCGGACTGTCCGGCCGATGTGAGCGAGAAGAGGTTTTTGGCGTTTCGCCATCGCGTGTGGACGGCATCATCTTCGAGCAATCGAGGAGTTAACATCTCCTGATGATGCCGTCCGAAAGACAATGATATGCTGAACGATGGCCGTGAAAGACACACAATTTATTGGATTAGTTAGCTTATTAAAAACTATTTTAAATACGGCCTGATGTTTTGGATGCTTTGCAGCAGCCATGGTTACGGGAGAGGACTGACTTCGTGTTTTAAACCGTTAAAAGTGTTTTATTTCAATAGGTACTAGTCGCGTCAACTACAGACAATTGTTATAATAGGCTTTTAGTAATTGTACTTTTAGGTCCTAGTGTAGCGTCATCTTTATGTTACGATATGAACAAACGCTGCATTTTGTAGTTTACTTAAACCATAGGAATTATATTAAAAAACAAACAGAAATGTTGCAAGAATAAAAATATACCCCAATGAAAGCTCGTTACATACGCTAAATGGTCGCAACGTCGCGTAAAATGTATGACATTGGTGGCCACAATAAATGAAAAAAACATAATTTTGAGTCAGCTTCCATATACCAGCTTTACTAATGTTAATTCAATAAGTAACTAACTAACCTTTGCCAATATTTTTATGAACACTATCCGTGAGTTAGAGGACTAACTTAAGAAAAACCTAGTGCTTTGCAAGTAGGTACCTAGTTACACACATACCATATAACTGCCATAAAACATCCAGTGAAAACACATAAGCTGTCATAATTAATTATTAATTACCCAGTCTTACCATCCTCGGCGATCCTTGGACTCCACTGAACTAGAAACAGGTCCTCGTAAATAGTGATAACAAACAGTTATGAATGATAAGGTTGATTGGGATTTTGTCTCGTTATTTAATCTGTTATTTATTCATACTTAGTTTTTCGATATCTTTAACAGTTTTTAGAACGTACCTTTTGGAAATTCACAATGATGAATAATTTTCCCCCTTATT